GCTACTCGGGAGGCTGAGGCAGGAGAATTGCTTGAACCCAGGAGGTGGAGCCAAGATCACACCACTGCACTCTAGCCTGGGCAACAGAGTGAGACTCCATCACAAAAAAAAAAAAAAAAAGGGGGCCGGGCGCGGTGGCTCAAGCCTGTAATCCCAGCACTTTGGGAGGCCGAGGCGGGTGGATCACGAGGTCAAGAGATCGAGACCATCCTGGTCAACATGGTGAAACCCCGTCTCTACTAAAAATACAAAAAATTAGCTGGGCATGGTGGCACGTGCCTGTAATCCCAGCTACTCAGGAGGCTGAGGCGGGAGAATTGCTTGAACCCAGGAGGCGGAGGTTGCGGTGAGCCGAGATCGCGCCATTGCACTCCAGCCTGAGTAACAAGAGCGAAATTCCGTCTCAAAAAAAAAAAAAAACAAAAAAAAAACACACACACACACACACAAAAACGATAGGAGCAGTGGGAGATTTTGATCAGAGAAGAGGAGAAGGTCATGTGACCGTAGAGGCAAAGACTGGAGTGATGTGGCCTTAAAGGAAGCCAAGGGTTGCAGGCAGCCATGGAAAGCTGGAAGAGGCAAGGAGTGGTTCTTCCCTGGAGCCTCTGGAAGAAGCCTGGCCCTGCTGATACCATCATGTTGGACTTCTGGCCTCCAGCACTGTGAAAGAATAAATGTCTGTTGTTTTAAACCGCGAAGTTTCTGGGGAAGTGATACTTATTAAGCACCTGCCTCTATGTGTCTGCCACTATTCACATCATCTCATGTCACACTCAAAATAACTCCTATGAGTTAGGCATTGCTGCATCATCTGTGTGGTTAAATTCAAAAGCTGCAAGATAGCTACAAAACCACAGGAAATTAAAATAATCCTAGAAGATGCTGTTTCTTATTATGTTTTTCCTGCTGAGTTGGGTGAAGATGCTTGCTTTATTTGAACACTGGCTAAAGTAGCTAGTTGTTGGCTTGCATTTAGCAGATCCTTGCTATGCAAAGTGCCTTTATCTTGTTTTGAAGAGGTGTGATTTTTCCTCAGCAAGACAAAAGGCTCAGGCTGTAAAAAGCTTGAGGGAGTTGAGTGAAATCCAGATGTCTTCCTCTTAAACCAGGGTGTAGCTCCCTCAGAGGGGAGGCAGGAAGAACCACCAGGGAACTGTCATTTTTTTAACCTCCTCTCCAGCATAGGGTAAACTCCAACTAAGTGTTAACTATTCCTTAACGGTGATTCAGCCTGAAATGTTTTCAAACAGGTGGGGGATTGCTTGTATTTGCCATGTATGTGGAAACAGGGCATGAGAATAGGGCCTGGAGGCAGGAAACCTAAGGACTTTCTAGAACCAAGTCAAATGGAAACCCATCAGCTATGACAGGAAATAACCTCGCCATGTACAGAAAGCGTACACCGAGTAAATGACTGTGTACTTTACTTCATCCTCTGCATTTACATAGGGTGCACACCAAATAACCAATGGAAACCTCTAGAGGATATTTAAACTGCAGATAATTCTGTAAGGGGGCCCTTTCATTTTTAAGAAATCTGCTTCTGTTGCTTCATTCTTTCCTTGCTTTGTTTGTTTTGCCCAGTTCTTTGTTCAAGATGCCAAGAACCTGGACACCTTCAACTGGTAACGGAAGTCAATATTTTGCAAAATATACTGTATCCCAGCATTCTGATTTGCTAGCTGTGACTTTGGGGCAGATACTTAGCATTTCTGTGCCTCAGTTTCACATCTGTTAAACTGAAATATTGACAGCAGCTAACTCAGAAGGTGGCTATGAGGATTCAATAGATTAAATTAGTTATTAATGGCTAACTGCACAGAATAGTTTCAGTGCATATAAAAAAACCACCAAAACTCAGGATTCTGCCTTGGCTTTCTTTCTCATTGCTTGATTTGTGTATATATATATTTGTATTATTAATGAATGCTTTCATTGATTTATTCTTTCACCTGTGGAAATGTATGTTCAACACATATATGGGAAAAACAATAAGGAATGCAAAGGAGGAGAAAATTCCAGATGAACACAGAAAGGAGCTTCTTAAAACAGACATTAGGTTTTCTAAGGGATCCTTGGTGACAATTATTAGAGCAGCTCATCTGGAGGCTGAGGGTCTAATCTGTGGCCTGCCATAGGAGACACTCCTTGTTTGCCAAGACGGACAGTGAACCGTCTGACTGTCTGATTAAGCTATTAGGATATTATCACAGAGTCATTCTACTTCTTCTTTATTAGCAGACCGAAGTAGGGAATGTTCCAGAAAAAGAAAAAGCTGTAACTATGTTCAGGTCTCAGTTTCCTTCCTAGTAAATGGCGTTCATTAATGTCCTTTCTAGAGCTTTTTCAAGAACTCCATGCGAGAACAAATTAAACAGCATTTGGCCCAATGGCCTGGCACATGTAAAGGCACACCAGGTCCACATCCTCTATTATCTAAGGAAGAGAAACCCTTAAACCCAAGCATTTAAGAATTATGTAATGATTTCCTGGCCGAGAGTGGTGGCTCATGCCTGTAATCCCAGCAGTCTGGGAGGCTGAGGTGGGTGAATCATACGAGGTCAGGAGTTCGAGACCAGCCTTACCAACATGGAGAAACCCCATCTCTACTAAAAATATAAAATTAGCTGGGTGTGGTGGTGCACACCTGTAATCCCAGCTACTCAGGAGGCTGAGGCAGGAGAATCGCTTGAACCCAGGAGTCAAGATTGTGCATTGCACTCCAGCCTGGGCAGCAAGAGCAAGACTCCATTTCAAAAAATAAATAAGAATTATAGAATGCTTTCCTAAAGATGAGAAATTCTGTGAGCTGGGAGAAGATATAGAAGGATAAAGGGACACTGAGCTGGAAAGTCCATTACCATAGGTATCTAGGGGGACTATATCCTAGTTATTTAAATGACTCAGTAACAGTTATAAAAATATAACTAATAATTATCTAGGGCTTGATAGGTCCCAGGCACTGTTCTAAGTGTTTTACATTTATTAACTTGCCAATCCTCTTCACAAAATGATGAACTGGCCACTTCTCAATTTCGTGTGAACATAGCACTTTCTTAATGTGGTTGTGCCTGGTAGATTTATGCATTAATCTAGTGATTCACTCAGGCACTTGTTCATGTCACAGTGTTCCTGGGCTGTAGCAAAGGATCGTGAACTGACCCCATGGTCACCTCACTGGTACTGACTCCTCTCCGAGTCTCAAAAGAGTGCTCTGAGTCAGACACGGAATTTAAGCTGGAATCTTTACGCAGCTTGTGAATCAATTTCACACACATGCCTACCTGAAGCATGTTGGCAGCACTGGCAATGTGCCCTATTTTGTTATTTGCTGAAAAGCAATCGGTATCTGTGTGAAAGTTCTGGTTTTATCCTGTGTTAGTTTGTCAAGGCTACCATAACTAAGCACTACAGACGAGGTGGCTTAAACAACAGAACTTCCTTTCATCGCAGTTCTCAAGGCTGAAGTCCTAAGGTCAAGGTGCTAGAAGGCTGCTTTCTCCCGCGGCCTCTCTCCTTGGTTTGCACATGGTCGTCTCTTCCCAGTGTCCTCATGTGGTGCCCCCTGTGTGCATGTCTGCTTCCTAATCTCCTCTTGTCATAAGGACATCAGTCATATTGGATTAGGACTCATTCCAATAACCTCATCTGACCTTCATGGGGTTATGACCTCTTTCAAGGCCCTATCTTCAATTACAATCACATTCTGGGCTACCGAGGGTTAGGACTTCCATGTGTGGGTTTTCTGGAATGAAAGAGACACGATTCTGCTCGTAACTACGCACAACAGCAGACAAAACTGCAACCTGGAGATGTTAAACGAGAATCACTAAATTACTGAAGTCTAGGCTTTAAAAGAACATTTACATTTGAGGAAATTAAAGCCCAGAGAAGTTAAGTCACTGCCTGAGCTCACATCCTTAGATACGGTGACTCGTAACTCACTTCATTTCTTCTTTCCTTTACCCCTTCCTTTATCAACAGAAGAGTTGCAAGAGCAGCCTCTCCTTTCCCCTCCCGTTATTGCCTGTGTGTCTTTGGCCATTTATTTAATTTTCCAAGCCTCAATTTTCCTACATCTAAGATAGGAAGAATCATGACATCAAAGAGTTGTTGAGGATCAAAACAAGTAATGCTAGCCAGGCACAGTGGCTGTAATCCCAGCACTTAGGAGGCCAAGGCAGGTGGATCATCTGAAGTCAGGAGTTCAAGACCCAGCCTGACCAACATGGTGAAACCCCATGTCTACTAAAAAAAAAATACAAAAAATAGTCAGGTGTGGTGGTGCATGCCTGTAATTCTGGCTACTCAGAGGCTGAGGCAGGAGAATCACTTGAACCTGGGAGGAGGAGTTTGCAGTGAGCCGAGATTGTGCCACTGCACTCCAGCCTGGGCGACAGAATGCGACTGTCTCAAAAAATAAAAATGCAGATCGACTAGGCCTGGCATATACACTTTTTAGTGAAAATTTCCCCTTTCTTGTGGATTGATTTTTAAGTTATTCACAAATACTTTACTTGATTCATTATTTCGCCTCCACCAGCAGATGTGTACTGAGAACAGGCATGCTCAATATAGCCCAAACGCTGTGTCTGAGTTCACATTTATTTTGGGGACACAAATCCATAGACAAGGAATTCCGACAGACATCAGAAACGTCTGCAGTGGGCAATTCAGTGCTGAGGAGGAAAAGGAATCTGGCCTTAGTATATGCTCCCCTGAAGGCTTCCTGGGAGGCAGAGTTTAGATGTGTCTTATAGAATGAGTTTCTTTAACAGGCAAAGCAGGGGATGAGGTGCATGAAATGGTCAGAACTGGCCGCTGGCCTGGTGGGCCAAAATGTAAGATGTGCAGATGTTCGTGGAAGAGGAGGGGAGGTCAGCCTACACACCCCTCCTCCAGGGCAGCAGCATCCTCTTCCAGGGTAATATCTCCCAAACTCTTCCTTTATTTCTTGCACTTAGCCTGGAACAGGAAGGCAGTTAAGTTATACCCACCTTGTTTCCTCTGAGTCCTGTCCCCAGGGCAAACTGCTGATTCCTCTCCAGGAAGCGGATTTTTACATTGTAGACTTTGTTCCCATTAAACACAACCAAAACATAAGGCTCTTCCTTGGATTTTGCGGAACAATCTCGGACCAAGAAAGAACCATCCTGAAGCAGAAAGAGTACCAGTCATCTTTTCAGGCATGCCAGCATTCTGCCCTTGTAACGGTGGCAACAATGATGTTTGCATGTATGAGATTCCCAGATGGATTTAGTTTTCGCTAAACCACAATTCAGTAAGTTTTTACTGAGTGTCTGCATGTCTAAGGGTTCTTGTCATTTTCTGAGATGTGTAGCAGTTGGATCTTGACACTCATTTCTTCAAAATCTTTCATCAACACTAGGGGTTGGTGGCTCATGCCTGTAATGCCAGCACTTTGGGAGGCCAAGGCAGGTGGATCACCTGAGGTCAGGAGTTCGAGACCAGCCTGGCCAACACAGAAAAACTCCATCTCTATTAAAAATACAAAAATCAGCAGGGCATGGTAGCAGGCTCCTGTAATCCTAGCTACTCAGGAGGCTGAGGCAGGAGGATCACTTGAACCCAGGAGGCAGAGATTGCAGCGAGCTGAGATTGCACCACTGCACTTTAGCCTAGGGGACAGAGCGGGACACTGGTTAAAAAAAAAAAGAAAAATATTTCATTATCTCCTACTGACCTGGGCATAGTGCCCATGAACTTAGCATGACCAACCTATCTTTTTTATTTATTTATTTTTTTGATGGAGTTTCACTCTTGTTACCCAGGCTGGAGTGCAATGGCACGATCTCGGCTCACCACAACCTCTGCCTCCTGGGTTCAGGCAATTTTCCTGCCTCAGCCTCCTGAGTAGCTGGGATTACAGGCACATGCCACCACGCCCAGCTAATTTTTTTTTGTATTTTTAGTAGAGATGGGGTTTCACCATGTTGACCAGGATGGTCTCGATCTCTTGACCTTGTGATCCACCCACCTCGGCCTCCCAAAGTGCTGGGATTACAGGCTTGAGCCACCGCACCTGGCTGACCAACCTATCTTGCAGACTGATCTCTCACTGCTCCTGCAGCTCCTGGCTCCTGGCTCCAGCCAAGCCACCATTTCCCAAAGGCACCATCTGATTTGGGGCTCCCAGATTTTGCATGATGTATTAGTCTGTTTTCACATTGCTATAAAGAAATATCTAAGACTGGATAATTTATAAAGGAAGGAGGTTTAATTGACTCACTGTTCCATATGGCTGGGGAGGCCTCAGGAAACTTAAAATCACTTGGAAGGCGAAGGGGAAGCAAACTTGGACCTTCTCACATGGCAGCAGGAGAGTTGAGTGAGGAGTGAAGGGAGAAGAGCCCCTTATAAAACCATTAGATCTCATGAGAACTCACTCACTAGAACAGCATGGGGAAAACTGCCCCCACGATCCAGTCACCCCCCACCAGGTCTCTCCCTAGACACATGGCAATTATGGGGATCACAATTCAAGATGAGATTTGTGTAGGATCACAAACCATGTCACATGTGCTACTTCTTCTGCATGGAAAAGCCCTTCTCCTGGCCCCTTCTTGATATATTCATCTCTGAATGTTCACATATTTCCTCTTCTGCCTGATGCTTGGGTATTATTCTAGAGACAGTGAGAGCCACTGCAGGCTTTGAGCAGAAGAAGCTTTTACCTAATAAATTGGACTTCAGTGTGGAAAGATGTCTATGCAAGATTAGCGTTCCGGAAAGAGACATGGGGCTTCTAAGTCATGGATAGGAAACTGAGTGGAGAGATCCTGTGTGGGAGGAGGTATTGTAGCCTAAGTTGAGGTGAAGGCAAGTACAGGGCAAAAAAGCGGAGACAGAAAAGACCTGGAAATATCTGAAAGATGAAGTAAGACCAGGAGATTCAGAGTGACAGAAGTCAAGATGTGGAGATTGACAGTTTCTAAAAGCAGGTCAACAGTGTCAAATGGTCCAAGAGCTGAGAACAGGATATCGATTAGAAATAATTTTACACTCCGGGGAATAATACAGAATGATAGTAAGAGCTGGTTGTAAAAGAGTGAGAAATGGAGCAGTCCTCCTGAACGTAAACACACCTACCAGGCTTAGTTTTGTGGTTACATTGTGTCATTTATATGATGAAAAACACTGAAAAATCTGTAAGTGTAATTGTGTGTATTGTATAGAGGGTTATAAGTGATCTCTGAAAAATAAATAGAGGCTGGGTGAGATGGCTCATGCCTGTAATCCCAACACTTTGGGAGGCTGAGGTGGGTGCATCACTTGAGGTCAGGAGTTTGAGACCAGCATGGCCAAGATGGTGAAACCTCATCTCTACTAAAAATGCAAAAATTAGCCAGGCATGGTGGCATGTGCCTGTAATCCCAGCTACTCTAGAGGCTGAGGCAGGAAAATCTCTTGAACCCAGGAGGCAGAGATTGCAGTGAGCCAAGATCATGCCACTGCATTCCAGCCTGGGCAACAGAATGAGACCCTGTCTCAAAAAAAAAAAAAAAAAAAAGAATAAATATGATAGACATAGATAAAATACAGAGTGATTTATATCTATAATGAATTATAATTAGATTTTATAAAAGCTACATATAATTATATATTTCTATAATGAATATTTATAAATTTAGATATATGATAATGATAATAATACTATGTAATGCAATATAACAATATTTTAGGTATACAAAATTTATAAATAATAATGTAACATTATAGTGATGTTATGATGATACTGGTAGCTGAGGTGCATTGAGAATTGCTCTCAAGGTGCCAAGCACTTTGCAGACATTGTTTCATTTGCAGGTTTTTTTTTTTTTTTTTTTTTTTTTTTTTTTTTGAGATATAGTCTTGTTCTTTCGCCCAGACTAGAGGGCAATGGTGTGATCTCAGCTCATTGCAACCTCCGTCTCCCAGGTTCAAGTGATTTCCCTGCTCAGCCTCCTGAGTAGTTAGGATTATAGGTGCAAGCCACCACGCCCAGCTAATTTTTGTATTTTTAGTAGAAAAGGGGTTTCTCCATGTTGACCCGGCTGGTCTCAAACTCCTGACCTCAGGTGATCCACCCACCTCGGCCTCCCAAAGTGCTGGATTATAGGCATGAACCACTACACCTGGTCCATTTATAGATTCTTTACATAAACGTTGATGGAAGTATTTGTCTCATTTTACAGGTAAAGGAATAAAGGTCAAAAGACTTAAGTGAATCCCCAGTTACTAAATGGAATACTTCACAGTTACTAAATGCATCACAGTTACTAAATGGAATACTTCAAAACCAAACAAAATTCTTACTCTTTAAATACACAAACTTCTGACTATATAAAGTAGGATGGAGGAATTTTCTGGAACTTATTCTGCCTAAAATGTTTAGTCATAATTGAAGCCTTAATGTTCAAGCACAGAGCACTGCCAAAGATCAGCAAGAGAGAAGAGGCCAAAACTCATGGCCAATATTTGGGTATATCCTCTTAAACTTTGCAATGAATTTGTCAAAATAAATCTGAGTAATTCTGAAATTTAAATTAAATTATCTTTCATAAATGGGAAACACATTTTGACAGAACTGACTGAGACAAACAAAAGGAAAATATGAAGTCATTTAACTGAGATTTTATTTTCTTAATGTTTCTTGGGAAGAGGCAGAAACAGACATACAGAAAGAGAGGAAGGGAGCATTTGCTGAGCACCCAAATGCTGCCAGAAAAACATCAGGTAACATGCATATTGCTTTTCCAGCACAGTCCATGCATAGGTTCCTGGAAGCAGGTCTACTAAGAGTAGTTTTTCAGGAAAACAGGCTCTGTGAGTGCAATAGTGCACTGAGCACTGATTAGCCAAGAAGGAGAGCCAGGGTTGGAATCTACCATCACCAGGTTCACCACTCTACCAAGGCATGGACAGATTCCCTGGAAGGAGAAAAGGAAGGTCCTTGAGGAGCTGCCTCAACCAACCACCCAGGCTTTCCACCTGGGCTGTGACAAGAACTGTGAGGGCTACTAAAGGCAGCTGGAATTTTTGTGAAAAGCGCACTGATCTTGAACGCATGCTCTGCCGATTTATTTACTTTCTGACCAACACGTTGGCTTAGCCTCAGTTTCCTCATCAAGGAAATGGGATGTTCCATTTATTCCATGTATGTTCAAGATACTTTTTTAGCAATGGTGTCATTTCCTACTGCTGCTATAACAAACAACCATGAAATTAGTGGCATAAAACACAAATGTATTATCTTACAGTTCTGGAGGTCAGAAGTCAAACATGAGTCTTGCTGGGCTAGAATCAATAGGGAAGACTTTGTTTACATGACTTTTCCAGTATTTAGAAGCCAACAAGATCCCTGGCTTGTGGCTCTCCCATTCATCTGACCTCCACTTTCATTATCACGTCCCTTCTCTGACTCTGACAGTCCTGCTTCGCTCTTACAAGGATCTTTGTGATGACATTGAACCCACCCAGATAATGCCTGGTACCTTCCCCATCTCAAGATCCTTACCTTCATCACATCTGCAAAGTCCCCTTTTCTATGAAGGTGACATATTCATAGGTTCTGGGGATTAGAATGTGAATACCTTTGGAGGGGGCATGCTTCTGTTTATCAATGCAACTTATACATATAATTTATTTAATTTTACAACATCAATTCTGGGAGTTAGGTTTTATTAAAATTTATTGTAGGCCTATCATTTATTCACTAATTCATTCATTCATTCATTTTGGATTACCTCCATCAACAATGACCATTGTACTGGTTAGCTGGGGATAGATTTTGATGTTGCAGCAGTCTGGAGACACTTTCTATAACTTCTAAGCAATCTCGTATAGTTCTCTGCACATAGTCATTGTTTGATAATTATTTGCTCTTTGGGATGATGATTGTGGTAGTCATTTGACCTGAGTATAAGTCTTCCAGTTCTCTTCTCCTTTCGGGCATCTGGTAAGTTTGCACTTCCACACCTTCTTTGAACTTAAGGTTGGTCATGTGACTTCCTTTGGTCAAAGATATGTAAGCAGAAGTAAAATATGTTACTTCTGAGGGATGTATTAAGAGCCAGAGTGTGGGCCAGGTGCAGTGGCTTACACCTGTAATCCCAGCACTTTGGGAGGCTAAGGCAGGTGGATCACGAGGTCAGGAGTTCGAGACCAGCCTGGCCAAGATGGTGAAACCCTATCTCTACTAAAAATACAAAAGATTAGCTGGGCATGGTGGCGGGTGCCTATAGTCCCAGCTACTTGGGAGGCTGAGGCAGGAGAATCACTTGAATCTGGGAAGTAGGTTACAGTGAGCTGAGATCACATCACTGCACTCCAGCCTGGGCCCCAGAGCAAGACTCTGCCTCAAAAAAAAAAAAAAAAAAAAGAAAAGAAAAAAGAGAAGAGCCAGTGTGTGAAGGTGGAAGCCCACCATTGAGATGGAGCCCCCAGCAACCTGAGTTTATCCACCCAAACCTATCCTGAACATGGTATGCAAGCAAAAAATGAAGTTTCATTATGTTAAGCAACTGAGATCATGGGGTTGTTGCGGCAGCATAACCTATTATATCCTGACTATTGCAGCCTTCATAATCCCTGCTCCTTTCTCGAAGAAGTGAGGCATAAAGACCCAACAGTACCTTGGGCAAACCTTGATTATTAAGAAGATAAACCTTGAAGAAAGCAGAAGGAAGCCCCTTCTATTGTGAACTCTATAGCCCAGTTTTCATATTTCATGTTGAAAATAGTTCCTTAGGGTTGATCTTACTATGTTTCATTTTACAAATGACTAAATCTACATGGGAAGTTATTTAGAAACTTGAAAAAGCCACACAGCTGATAATTAGCCCTGCCAACCCTAAGATCTCAAACTCTCCATGTTGTTTTGTTTCTTGTTTTGTTATTTTATTTTATTTATTTTTGAGACAGTGTCTCACTCTACTGCCTGGGCTGGAGTGCAGTGGCGCGATCTTGGCTCACTGCAACCTCCACCTCCCTGGTTCAAGCGATTCTCATGTCTCAGCCTCCTGAGTAGCTTGGGTTACAGGCGCATGCCACCATACCTGGCTAATTATTTTTTCTATTTTTAGTAGAGATGGGGTTTCACCATGTTGGCCAGGCTGGTCAAACTCCTCACCTCAAATGATATACCTACCTCGTCCTCCCAAAGTGCTAGGATTACAGGTATGAGCCACTGCATCAGACCTGAAACTATCCATGTTAAATGCTCTTTTCAACTACAACCTCCCAGCATTGAGAAATGCAGGGTGATGCAGGAAATACTACATTGAAGCTGTTGTTTGTTACATCTTGCAACCCATGAGCAGAAAGCCGTAAGATGCCTATAGAAACGATGATGGGTCATGTAGAAGGCATTACCTTGTTCTCCTTCATTAATGCCTCTTCCACTTCCTGGCGACTGTATTCTCCAACGTACCATTCATTGTGCTGGATATCCTGCAGTACCGAATCAATAAGAAATATTTTAGGGTTAAAAAGAAGTATGAATTATTGATTAATTTTTTTTTTTTTTGAGATGGAGTTTTGCCCTTGTTACCCAGGCTGGAGTGCAATGGCGCGATCTCGGCTCACCGCAACCTCCGCCTCCTGGGCTCAGGCAATTCTCCTGCCTCAGCCTCCTAAGTAGCTGGGATTACAGGCACGTGCCACCATGCCCAGCTAATTTTTTGCACTTTTAGTAGAGACGGGGTTTCACCATGTTGACCAGGATGGTCTCGATCTCTCGACCTCGTGATCCACCCGCCTCGGCCTCCCAAAGTGCTGGGATTACAGGCTTGAGCCACCGCGCCCGGCCGAATTATTGATTAATTAATTCAAAATTTGCTTTTATTCCACCAGTGCCTAGTCATAGTTTAATCTATAGTAGATATTCAGCACCCAACATTTAGTCTCTGACCTGGAGAAGCCCACAGATGCTTAGGGCAGAGAGACATAGAAAAAGTTACTGTAGCTAGGGAGTTCTGAAGTCTATGAGAATCTGTTGAGAAAGATTCTTCAGCACCACCCTCAGAATAGATAATAAGCCCTCTATCTATCAGTGCTTTCTGAATCTTCAGCAACTGAGGCTTGCTGAGGTGGAAATGTGTATTGTTTGTGAAGCCTGTACTGCCCTCATCACATACAAACAGCAGAGGGGGGAGAAAGAGGTGCAGAAAGAGCTCAGTCTCTGCCACTTCACCAGAGGCACAGGTGGCTGAGCTATGATTTGGGTCCTAGTTTGTCTAGCCTTCTCCCTGTGCCACACTGCTTTATTTTATATCAATATTAAATGATTTGAAATTCTTTTGATTATAAAATCCAGACTAACTGGGAGAAGGAAGGGCAGTCAGGGAGCTGCATCATGGACTTGCAATTCCTTCACAGGGTTCCGAGGATCATAACATGAAATAACCCCCTTGTGAGGCCAGCATCTATAAGGTCCTTCCTTACATAGTAGCATGTTAATCCATCCCTTCAACACTTCTTTGAAGTAGGCATGTCAGGTAGTATTAACCCTGGTTAAGATGGACAGTAAGGGTTCAGAAAGTCAAAACCTGTCACATGGTTGGCAAGAGTTAGGTACGTGACATCACGTCTTTGGTTTCTCATTTATTTGGAGTCTCTGGTCCACTGAAAAATAAACCTGATCCACCCAATACTGAGATTCTGATTCTGTTCACATGAGAACACCCTGATGTGAACAGCATCTGGAAAGGTATGAGCTAGCTCTAAGTCAACCCTGCAGCCTCACTTCCTGACACCCTATTTCAGACATGGGTCTGGCCAGACAAAATGCTTGTACTCTGGACACACACAGCTTCAGGAAAGACCAGAGCTGGCCCTACTGCCTGGAATCTCTCCTTGTCCTCACCTCTGCCTACCCATCTCAGCCATTCTTTTGCATCAAGATTGGGACCAATAGTCACCTCTTTTATTTATTTATTTATTTATTTATTTATTTATTTATTTAGAGATGGAGTTTCGCTCTTGTTGCCTAGGCTGCATTCAATGGCACAGTCTTGGCTCACTGCAACCTCTGCCTCCTAGGTTCAAGCAACTCTCCTGCCCCAGCCTCCCAAGTAGCTGGGATTACAGGCATGTACCACCATGCCCAAGTAATTTTCACCATGTTGGTCAGGCTGTTCTCGGACTCCTGACTTCAGGTGATCCACATGCCTTGGCCTCCCACAGTGCTGGGATTGCAGGTGTGAGCCACAGTGCCCGGCCCAAAAGTCACCTCTTATTTGACCTATTCCCTACCCCCAGGGGAGAGCTGGTGCTGAAAAAGTCCATGTCGGGGCCAGCTCTGCCTCACTCCCCAAAGGCACGTGACAGGCTCTAGAGATGAAGGAAGCCTAGGAACCCCATCTCCCCACTGAAGCCTGAGTTGTCTGAGCTCGGAGTGGTCTGCTGATTCCGGATGGATTCTTGGCCAATCCATGGACATGGCAGAGATCAGTCACGGTGCATTTCATCTACTCTGTTTTTATTTATTTGTCCAAGTTGGAGGACGTTTCGAGATTAGACTTGTGTTTCTCCAAGTGTGTTCATGAGGGATGGCTGGTGAGTTTAGCTGGTGCTCAGAAACTGAATTATGTATCTCCGCATCGCTTGGGGGAAGGAAGTCCCCTTCTAATTCTCTTTCTAGCCCCCTGAATAAATCAAAAGGGAATTTTCATTTTGGTTCTAATATGTCTTTAATAGCTCTCTGACATTTCAAATCTCTTCTTTAACAGAAGAAGAGCAATCCTTATGGTGACAGCGTGAGCAGGTAACAGCATCCTGCTACAATTTAATAGCTTGTTTTGTTTGCATTGCAATTGCTTTTTTTAAAAGTAAGCAAAAATATCGTAAACCAAAAATAAAATTCTAAGGCTGCCCCAACCATCGGAATGGACTTCCTCCTCTAACAAGGCATTGTTAAAATTTAACCTGCTAGGCTAGTTTCGGTCATGTCGGGAAGTAGGGGTCAAACATGCCTCATTATACCTCTCCAGCAGTAACATCAACACAGACTTTAAGTCTGATAACAAGCATTTACAATCTCTTCTCTCTGAAGCCTGCTACCAGAAGGCTTCTTCTGTACAATAAGAACTTCGGTCTCCACAATCCCTTAACTGATAATTAGCCCTCTATCTGTCAGTGATATTCCCTTTCTATTGATCCCGGGTCTTCAGCTAAACTCAAGCAATTGTTACCCAGAAAATTTTGAAATTTACCTATAACCTAGAAGGCCCCACTTCGAGCTGTCCCACCTTTCTGGACTGTAACAGTGTATTTATTAAACATAATCCCAGCACTTTGGGAGGTCGAGGCAGGCGGATCACCTGAGGTCAGGACTTTGAGACCAGCCTAGCCAATATGGAGAAACCCTGTCTCTACTAAAAATACAAAAATTAGCTGGGCATGGTGGGGTGCTCTCGTAATCCCAGCTACTAGGGAGGCTGAGGCAAGAGAATCACTTGAACCCGGTAGGCAGAGGTTGCAGTGAGCTGAGATCGCACCACTGCACTCCAGCCTGGGCAAAAAGAGCAAAACTCCATCTCAAAAAAAAAAAAAATGTATTTGATTGAAGTCTCCTATGTTCCTAAAAAGTACAAAACCAAACTGCACCCTGACCACCTTGGGCACACATTCTCAGGATCTCAGCATCTCTGGAGGGCTGTGTCACGGGCCATGGTCACTCATATTTGGCTCAGAATATATCTCTTCAAATATTTTCCAGAAATTGACTCTTTTCGTCAACAATGTAATAAGATTTACCATTTCAACCATTTTTAGGTGTATCAGTCAATGGCATTAATTACATTCACACTGCTTTGCAGCCATTGCTACTATCCAAGTCCAAAAGCTTTTAATGACTCTAAACTGGAATGCTGTATCCATTAAACAGTAACTCTCCATTACTTCCACCTCCTTCCTCAGAGCCCAGGTTAACCATTCTATCTTCTGTCTCTATGAATTTGCCTATTCTAGGTACCTCGTATAAGTGGAATCACATATTTGTCTTGCATGTCTGACTTATTTCACTTAGCTTAATGTTTTCAAGCTTCTTGCATATTGTATTACACGTTAGCATTTTATTTCTTGTTAGAGCTAAATACTGTTTCATTGTGTGTGTATACCATTTTGTTTATCCATTCATCTGTTAATGGACATATAGGTTCTTTCCATCTGTTGTCTATTGTAAATAATGTTATGAACATGGGTGTACAAATATATGAGCGTCTGCTTTTAATTCTTTTGGGCATACACTAAGGAATGGAATTACTTTTAAAGTGACTTTTTACGATATACATTACTGGTTTTTTTAAAAAAAAAAACTAACCAGAGTAGTGATATAAAGTGAAAACAGGTCAACTTAAAGAGTATTAAGTAAATGTTTTTATTGATGGTGCATAGATATGGCACAAATCATAAAAGTATTTTCAAATAGCTGAAATCAGGGAAATCCTGATGTGGTCCAAGCCTGTGTCATGCCTATGAGGAATCTGGGATCTGGGAGGGAGTGTGATCTTGTGTAGATCTCTAGTTAGAACCAAGAGATCCCCATGTTTATGAAGAAGATAACAGAGCAAAAGGAAGTCGAGTGCATAACAAGGGGCAATAAATAAAGGATGTGTAATTTTTTTTCTGTGTGTGATGAAGTCTAGCTCTCTTGCCCAGGTGGGAGTACAGTAGAATGACCTCTCTCAGTTCACTGCAACTTCTGCCTCCCGGGTTCCAGTGATTCTCCTGCTTCAGCCTCCCAAGTAGCTGGGATTCAGGCACCTGCCACCATGCCTGGCTAATTTTTGTATTTTTAGTAGAGACAGGGTTTCACCATGTTGGTCAGGTTGGTTTTGAACTCCTGACCTTAGGTGATCCACCTGCCTCAACCTCCCAAAGTGCTGGGATTACAGGTGTGAGTCACTGTCCCTGGCCAGAATGTGAAACTATTTTTCAGGGTCGAATTTAAGATTATGAGACCCCTTTTAGAATTAGGTAGAAATTGATATGAATATAAGGACAACAACAGAGCTTTAGGATACTGTAGGAATTTACCAGTGATATCCTCTACACTCTGCTTCTGCATAGAAACCTTCAAAAGCTCTGTAGCAGGACAGTGAGTAATAGCAGGGTATGGGATGGATACCTGGAAAAGGCACATCCTCTGGGGCTTTACAGTGAAAGACTTTAATAAGTAACATCCCAAGGTGATGGGATAAAAGCGTACAAGATACAGTGAAAGCTTTATCCCCCCATCACAGGATAATAAGTGAAAAATGGTCCAAAAATAACCAATTGTAGGGAAGGAGCATATTTTAGAAAGACAGCAGAAAATAGATGAAGGACACACAAGAACACATCTGTAAACATTTGCATCTCCACCTTCTTTACATCTCCATTGGGGTGGGGACCATAACCTCTACCACATTGTCTGGCACATGATAACTGCTCAACTAATGGTTGCTGAACTGTTCAACTGAAATGAGTATGTTATACACAAGGTTTTTGCTGGAAAAAAAATTGCAACCTATAAATCCCAGTTAATCCCCCGTAAGATTATTGGACAGCCAGTAAACATAAAACACATGTCTAAATATCTGTATTTTGGGATTAATTTTTTAAAAATATGTTAGAATCTGGAAACATACCAGTCAAAGAATCTGGTGAGAGAGCAATGTAGTATGTCATACAGCAACGTATTTAAAGATATTAAAATACCTTAAAATATTAAAACCCAGTAATATACAGTCAGACAGGAAAAAGTTAAAGTCCAACATAAATCATCTCCTTTTGGGCACTGTTCAGGAAAGCTCTATTTAGATGCCAAGTACATCTGGAAGAACTTGGCAGAGATATGTCTGCTTACCTTTCTATCAGACCTTTCAGGGAAAGGTGGCCTCCGGCTTGTGTATTTATAGGGCGGTACATTTTCATGAGGGATGCAGCTGGCTGGAGACTGGCATCTCTGAGGAGAACAGGACTGCATGCCTCCTCTATGTTCTGGAAAGGTTAAATTCACATTTCAGTGTGATTGTGTGACTGGTGCAGACTGTCCCCCACCTCCAAAAAGGAGCTGGAACCCTTTGCTCCTTCCTATAACTGTGAGGACCTTCTCGGTCTACATCACCATCAGCTCACTCAGTGATGGTAATTCTCTCTGTTTTGTTCTCTGGCTGTAACTTTGCCCTTCCCCCTCTCTTCCCTTAGGGCGCTCAGAGTCATCTTTTAAGAATGTAATTCCAGGCTGGGCATGGTGGCTAACCCTTGTAATCCCAGCACTTTGGGAGGAGGAGATGGGCGGATTACCTGAGGTCAGGAATTCGAGAGCAGCCTGGCCAACATGGTGAAACCCTGTCTCTACTAAAAATACAAAAATTAGCTGGACATGGTAGAGGACTCTTGAGGCTGAGGCAAGAGAGTCACTTGAACCTGGGAGGCAGAGGTTGCTGTGAACCTAGTTCGAGGCACTGCACCGAGAAACACACACACACACACACACACACACACACACACACACACACACACACGGAATTCTGACTTTGCCACTCCCCTGGTAAAATTTCTGACATGACTTCCTTTCCACCTGGAAGAAAATATAAGCCTTTTCCTACTGCCTGTAAGGCTCTGAATGAACTGTCTATTCATGTTTCTCGATCCTCATCCTCATTTCTGCCCCAATTGTCTACTCTGTTCTGTATGTAATGAACTCTGTTCATTTTCTTAAACATCAACACTTTGTTCCCTATTTTGGGAACACCATTTTTTTAACTTGAAAGAATAACTTAAAAAAAGAAACATCATATTTTATAACCCAAAAGAATGACTGACACACTATCGTTATTCTGACTTGGATATTTGATGGATATGTTACTAAAAACAAAGTGAGCCTGTCACTTCATGGAAAACAAGGGGCAGTATCTGTTACTGATTATAAAATCAGATTTTGCAAGTGCAACCTGGAATTTGAGGAATCTTGTATCGGCCACTGTTATATATACACTTTTCTGATGTGGTGGGTGGTGCAAATGTGATTTTTAAAATATATTACATAAAGGGCCAGCGTGGTGACTCATGCCTGTAATCCCAGCATGTTGGGAGGCCAAAGCGGGCAGATTACTAGGTCAGGAGTTCGAAACCACCCTGAACAACATGGTGAAACTCCATCTCTACTAAAAACACAAAATTAGCTGGGTATGGTGGTGCATGCCTATAATCCCAGCTACTTGAGAGGCTAAGGCAAGAGAATTGCTTGAACCTGGGAGATAGAGGTTGCAGTGAGCTGAGATCGTGCTACAGCACTCTAGCCTGGGCAACAAGAGCAAAACTCCATCTCAAAAAAAAAAAATACATAATGACATATATCAACAGTGGAAGACCTGTGTATGTCTATTACCCATTATTTTCCAAGTGATCAATGCATGACGCTGCACAATCCTGCCTGCATAAAAGATAAATTCAAGTACAAGATAGACCAAGGGATTTTAAAGTAGCAGAATATCAGAAGTTCATTGATAGGGCTTTGATTTCACATGGCAGCTAAGCTTTAAGATACTTCCACTTGTCAAATGTTAATGTGGTATTTTCTCTATCCTCAATCAAAATAACTTATTTTCATTGCATGTCTTTCCAGTCAATAATAATAAAAAATATATTTTTTTGAAATTTAGACCACAAACATGAAGTATAAGAAGGAATACCAAGCAAAACATCTGTAAATGTATTGGTAATTTTAAGCAAGGAGTAACTATTAAAAAAAATCATAAAACCTTGAGGATATACAAACATTATGTAAGTAAGATACTAGGCAAAAATAACATATGAAATGCAAAAGATGTAATCAGAATGAATACAGAATTATAAGCTTTTTAGTTGTAGTTCATTCTAAAAAACATAACCAAAGTTACGGTCATGGTTATCATATGAACAAGAACTTTGAAAGGATGGGGTTTTTTTGAGATGAAATATTAATTAAACATTAGCACATACATGCCATTTTCTGTAACATTTAGATTATATAGGCACTTATTCTGCTTCTGGTAATCAAAAAGCCAAATTTATCTACAAATTTACTAAGAAGAACAGTACTTCTGATACACTGACAATTTTATTCTAATGAGAGCAAGGATTGTACCTTTTTTTTTCCTCTGAAATGAAGTTTTGCGCTTTACTTTTTTTTTTTTTTTTTTTTTTTGGGATGGAGTCTTGCTCTGTCACCAGGCTAGAGTGCAGTGGTGTGATCTCGGCTCACTGCAACCTCTGCCTCCCGGGTTCAAGCAATTTTCCTGCCTCAGCCTCCTGAGGACCTGGGACAACAGGTGTGTGCCACCATGCCCAACTAATTTTTGTATTTTTTAGAGAGACGGAATTTCACCGTGTTGGCCAGGATGGTCTCGATCTCTTGACCTCGTAATCCGCCTGCCTCAGCCTCCCAGAGTGTTGGGATTACAGGCATGAGCCACTGCTCAAGGCTGAGTTTTGTTCTTGTTGCCCCGGCTGGAGTGCAGTGGCACAATCTTGGCTCACTGCAACCTCTTCTTCCCAGGTTCAAGCAATTCTCCTGCCTCAGCCTCCCAAGTAGCTAGAATTACAGACGCCTGCCACCACACCCAGCTAATTTTTGTATTTTTAGTAGAGTCAGTGTTTCCCAATGTTGGCCAGGTTGGTCTTGAACTCCTATCCTCAGATTATCTGCCCACCTCGACCTTCCAAAGTGCTGAGATTATAGGCATGAGCCACCACGCCTGGCCAGGATTGTAGCTTTTAATGTTGGGCCTAAGGATTTTTGTTATGAGGGCTTATTTATATCAAAATATTTGTTGCAGAAACCTGTTCGATCACTTAAAGTTTAAATTACCTTAATTGTGGTTAATTTCACCCACAAATTTCTATTTTTAAAGGTGGGAATAAAACTAGAGCCATTCCTAGTTTTAAAATGTTACTTTATAGATAAAAAAGTTTAACTTTCAAACACAGTGAAGAATTCACACCTTCAGCATTCTGAGTTTTTATGTATTGTTTGAAAAGAAAATATGAATTTCAGACTGTTAAAATTTTAGCATGCCATTATTAAAAAATATTTAGGGTAACCGAAAGAAGACTAATAGTGGAATGTATAACTTCTAAGAAAAAGAAAGAAAGGAATATAAAGGAGAGATGAACCCAGTATACGGCAGGACAAAAAAAAAAAAAAAAACAACAAAAAAACTCGGCCGGGCACAGTGGCTCAAGCCTGTAATTCCAGCACTTTGGGAGGCCGAGGCGGGTGGATCACGAGGTCAAGAGATCGAGACCATCCTGGTCAACATAGTGAAACCCCGTCTCTAATAAAAATACAAAAAATTAGCTGGGCATGCTGGCGCGTACCTGTAATCCCAGCTACTCAGGAGGCTGAGGCAGGAGAATTGCCTGAACCCAGGAGGCGGAGGTTGCGGTGAGCCGAGATTGCGCCATTGCACTCCAGCCTGAGTAACAAGAGCAAAAACTCCGTCTCAAAAAAAAAAAAAAAAAAAAAAAAAAAAAAAAAAAAAAAAAAAACTCAATGCACAGCAGTACAGATAGAAGGCATAACACAATAGAAAAACAGACCCGAAATATGAGTAATCACAATAAATATCAAAGGTGCAAAATTAGCATTTGAAAATCAGATACAGATTGATTTAAAAATTCCAGTTAGGTGCTAATTGTACTTCTAACATACAATGACACAGAGAGTAAAAGGATGGAGACCTGTGTACCAGGTAGATCCTAACCAAGAGAAAGACAACAGAGTTATGCTAATATACAATAAAATTGACTTGAGACTTATTTAAATGGCCATAATTAACTTTTCAACATGGATTGAAAAAATAGGAACATACCGAAGAGAAAATAATCATTTTCGGTATTTCCTAGCACTTAGATGGTGTTGCATACCTAATAATGTTCAGTGATTATGAATTTGTCATGATATTATGGCAACTGATTGATTCTTTTTTAACCTTCAGTGCCTTGCTTGGATATTTTAAAAGTCCTACTTTAAAAAGAGAATTTGGAAACAGCTATGCATTTGTAGTTTGTTCAGAGAATGACTTAAAACCGAACAAAGAAACAGAAACAAGTTTGTCAGGTAATTTTTCCCTGAAAGCCTGGTTGGATCTTTGTTGAAAGAATGAATGAAATTCTGACTATGTAACTGGCTGTAAGTATTTAGTAGATTTTGTTTTAAAGTAATCGAAGCTGTTAATATTTGGAAATTTTATTCTTAAATAAAACATTACATTTAAGTTTTTAACCCCAGGAAATAGGACTCTCCTAACATGGAGAATGGAAGGTCACAGAAATGAAGCCACAAGCTAAGGGGAGGAACAGTGGGAACAGCACAGTGCAGGCGCACAATAAATTTGAGGGAGAGTAGCCTAATAACAAAGGCATGGGTTGAAAAACCACACTGATATCAGTAATCGCTAATATTTAAAATTCTTATGTGTTATAGATTAAGCTCTTAGCACAATGTCTGATCATAGAATCACTCATCAAGGCTAGCTGTGAGTGTTGCTTATATTACTAGGGAAGCACAGTTCTAGACTTCCCTGTTGTAACTTATAATAAAGCATTTTATTTTAAGCAGGTGGTCCATATTTATTAGAAAAATTTAACTACCCTTATATGTGATTTAAAAAAATAATTTTATAAGAAAAAGAGCCATCCATTTTAAAGCAAAAATAAAGCGTTAGTGAACAAAAACTAAAAATAGAAAAAGAAAAGAAAACAGATGATCTACAATCCCAGACTTAGAAAATAACGTTGTTGCTACTTTGGAATCTAACCACAACTGGAGCCTCTTCCAACACGTCAAATATCTTTTTCTGTCCTGAGATCCACTTTCTTGGGATCCTAATAGTTTAACTTGAATTAATTGACGAAAGAAATGGAGGCAAATCTGTTTATCAGGCTGTAACTGAACAAGAAGAACTGAACTTTCCCAAAATTATTTTCTCATTTGTAAAATAAGTATAATAACATGTAAAACTACAGAGGTGTAAATTTTACTCTGCTATATGAATGCCCATACCTGGCGCACTAGAGAGCCCATTAGACCGATAATTCTGGGAGTGTAGACTGTGCTGTTTTCTGCCCACTTAACATCACCCAATACTGGTGATTCAGGAATGAATTTGTACCCAGTAGAATGAGTATGGGTCCTGCAGCTGATGGAGGAACATCGCACGGGTGCTTAAGCACTGGTTAAAAGAAACTTGGGTGGTCTCCACCGTGCATTCTTGGGACCCAGCCCAAGTTTCGGTACAAACCATGTTCTTGGAGGATGTCTGTTTACTAAAACAGGAATTAGTGAAGACTCGAACATTTCCCCCATCTATCCCAGGCTTCTTTCAGTAACCTGTTTCCTCTGAGATAAGGTGAGGCGAGCTGAGAGCAACCTAAGCAACCCCAGTGCAAATGATCTACTTACAGCCCTGGGACACTTGACCTGACTCATGTCTGTGAAGGCCATTTCCATCACTCCATTCCATTATTCAATTGCTCTTTATTTTTCATTTGTGCATGATTTGATTTGATTTGATCTGATTTTTGAGACAGAGTCTCACTCTGTCACCCAGGCTGGAGTTTGGCTCACTGCAACCTCCACCTCCCAGGTTCAAGCAATTCTCCTGCTTCAGCCTTCCGAGTAGCTGGGATTACAGGCACGCATCACCACGCCTGGCTTATTTTTGTATTTTTAGCAGAGACGGGGTTTCTCCTGTGTTGGCCAGGCTGGTCTCTAACTCCCTATTGCAGGTGATCCTCCCGCCTCAGCCTCCCAATGTTCTGGGATTACAGGCGGGAGCCACCACGCCTGGCCAATTTTATATTTCAAGTTAAGATTCTGGATTCCCCTCTAGGCTATGATTCTGCTTCCCCATCCCTGCAACGAAACCTCTATAAGTAATGCCCCTTCTGGGCCTGGTCAGCCCCTGGACTTTCCTCCTGGATGCTCCAAGTATTTTCATCTTCATCTACCTAGATCTGACCTTTAGGACTCCCAATCCTGACATTTGATGACTAGGGATTGAGTCCATCGGGTTTATCTCAGCCCTCCTTGGGCACCTTTTAAATAAGGGAATCCTCTGTTGGGAAACTCTCATTAGCAATGTGTATATGAGAGGAAGTGAATTGATAAACTTGGTTTTCCAGCCTCAGGTCCAGATGGCATATGGAGGAATGATATGAAGGAAGGCATGGTGGAAGCCAGTGAGACAGCCTGTAGGTCCACCCAGGTCAATTGGATGGGAAGAAGAAAAGAGAATGCAGAAAATGAGAAAAGACATTAAAATGTATCAGCTACCTACTATGTGGCAGGCAGAGGGCTGTGTGTGTGTGCACACGCATATATTAATATGAATATATCAGTTAACATTACTACTTGAATTTTATGAAAGGGAAAATGTGAGGCTTAAATAATTAACTTGTTCAAAGTAATCTCAGTATAAGGAGAGAGGTAGAATTAGGAGCAGGATCACTAGAGCCCTCATCCTCTCCACATTACCTTGTGGGCTTTGCTTCCCCCAGGCCTAAACTTCTCCAGGCCTCCAGGCCCCTTTTTTTTTTTTTTTTTTTTTTTTTTTCCTGTGCACAACGAAGAGATTCCAGTGCCAGATCTCAACAGAGTCTTCATGGCACGTAGAGTGAAAAAAAAAGGAAAGACAAATGAATATGATGGATCTAGTTTGTGCAAAATAATTAATAGTATCAACACCCACCACAGTCATATAACTCTGTATTTATATGCCGCTTCAGACATCACCACAGATGGGATATCCTTTTGATTTTTACTTTACAAACAGTAAGAGGTGTCAGTTTTATTTTCTTCATTTCAAAATTTTTCTTGAGACGAGTTTGTTTTGTACCCAATGGATTGGGAAAAATTAAAAGTTTGTCAAAAACAATTGTTGGAGAGTGTGGGGAACAATGGGGACTCACACTGTTGGTGAGACTAATTAATGTCTACTTTGGAAAACACATCTAGGGCAGTTGAAGAGATGCATATCCTAAGACGGAGCCATTTCAGTCTTATGAAGGAAAATAATCACATTGTATACATGGAAGACATCTATACTAATGTTCATAGCACAATAAGATTCACAAGAGGAAAAACTAGAAACTGCCTAAGTAGCCATATTTAATCATGGATCAAAACTATGTCATAGTAACACAGTGGAAATGAGCTAATTACATCTGTACACATCAGCTCAGTGACTCTGGGGTTCACAACGGTTAAGTCACAGTGCAGCAATATCACAGTATCATGACTCACCTGTTTATTTTATAATTCTTAAAGTGCTCTTACCTCTGTTTTGCACATTGTGGTTGCTTGTTATGAATGAAGAACTGTAAGAAAATATGTTAGAATTCAAAGAATGTTAGTATTTCCCTTGGTGGTAACATTCCACGCAGAGGCAGGGTCAATGATAATAGCCTGAAGTCACATTTATAAGGCACTTTATATTTTACTGGATATGCTAGAAGAATCATTTATTTTGAAACGCACTAGGAGGCATGTTCTCCTCCTTTCTGAAGCTGGCAATATTAGACATGGAACAAATTGACCATATAAGTTCTCATGTGTTTTCAGTGAGCACATATCATTATTCTTTACTTTTTGAAGCCATGAGTTTAAACTTGCTTTGTAGCTACAGTCACTATGGAAAACAATATTTTGCTGGTTGGAGCTTATAGTCAATAGAAACTATTTACTAATTGCAAGGCAACTGTAGAGTGGAAGAAGAATATAGAAATTATTGTATTCCTTCTAAAAATATGAGCTAAGAAAATTCAATGATTATAAGAAACCCCCAAAGAAAAAGAGATTATAAAACTTTAAGTCAAATAAAATAACAATAAGGATTTCTAAATACAAAAATGATACTACCAAGACTGTTCATCAGTGGCTTTTCTTAGCAGTCTACTTAATATTTAGCTGTAATTTTCTGGTTCATTTTGTATAGTGGTCAGCATCAATATAAGCTCCAGGTGCTACTACAGTTAAATCTGATTACATGAGAGATGCTCTATTTCAAGGACTGTGCTATTGACTAAAGCCTCTGGGTTAATTAAATGAAACCTGATCCATTTCTAGCGCCAATGAAATCAACTGAGCATATATCTGGTTTATGTTATCACCATAAAAGCCTGGGGTCATGTGTTTTGTTTTGTAGATAAAAACACCAGCAGTTCATCCATCCATCACACTACTCTGTCATTGCCCGCCAGACTTCTACTGAAATTCAAGATTTGACTCTGTTAAAACCAGAATCCTTTTACTAGCAGGAAGTGTCCAATTTTGTTAAATGTGTGGGGGAAAGTAGGAAATAGCAAAATTTTTCTGCTCTAACAGTTGAGGATTTTTAGAAAATGTTGAAAGAACAGAAATATCCTCTGAGGATATCCCAGAAGTGCATAGTTGATAGGAATATGAGGGGGAAAAAAAAGAGCAAAATAATTAAAAATTTAAAAAATGATGACTCTTTCATTTAACAAACATGTTGGACACTTACTAGGCATGGTGTGGTATGTTCTGGGGAACAGACGATGAAGAATATATGGCCTCTGCCTGAATGAAGCTTAGTTTATGAAAGAAACACATTCTTGTACCATAATTATAATGTATAATAAATGTTATGGTAAAGGTGTGCATCGCATAAGTTTTTGTGGTAGTAAAAGGTCATGTAAACGAGACAAAATTGCTTTTGTTCTCAGGAAAGGCTTTGTGGGAGAAAGGACTAACCGAGCGGACCCCTGTGTGAACAGGAGTGAGAGAGTATTCCAGGCAGGTGGAGCAGCACAGCAAAAGCCCAGAGGCAAGGAGGCATGGCCTTTGATGCAAGAGACCAGAAAGCAGTTTCTTCTAGATGAAAGGTCGGGTGATAACAGCATCACTGGAAGGCTAGTGCAATAGTCCAGGCTAAAGTTGATGGTGGCTGCACCATGCAAGGAGCTAGGCAGGTGGGGAAGAAATAGACACATTCAACACACGTTTTAGAGATATAATTTTGGGAGTTGAAAATGGATGGGATAGGAGGAGTGAAGATGGGAAAGAGAGCTTACTGAGTGTACTGGGATGAAAACTCTTTGCAGAAGGATATTACGAGTTTGGGAATGAAAGCAGAAATGAAGAGTTTGATTTTCACCATTATGAGTTTGTGCTGCCTGGGACTTAGCTAAGGAAAAGTGCTCGCGGGGTCATTAGATACACAGGTCTGGAGCTAAGAGAGGTGGTTTGCAGAAAATAGGGATTTGGGAATTATCAACACAGGGTTGACGTTTGATGCCGGGGATGAATGTGGTTACACAGGCCTTAGTGATAGTAAAGTGGACCTCGGATGAACTCTGAGGAATACCAACATTTAGTCAGTTTGGGAAAAAGTCCAAGACGAGGAATTAGAAGAAGCAGCCAGTTAAGAGAGGAGGAAAAATCAAGAGTCTTTATTCAACAAATTAAACAAACAAACAAAAGAAGTGAAACCACATCAAATAACTGCTACAACTTGAGAACTTGTTATTTTTCCACTATACAATACTGTGTATATTTTTTCCTTTTAGAAAATTACATTAAAAAAGGGGGCCAGGCATGGTGGCTCATATCTGTAATCCCAGCACTTTGGGAGTCCAAGGTGGGTGAATCGCTTGAACCCAGGAGTTCCAGACCAGCCTGGGCAACATGGTGAGACCCCATCTCTACAAAAAATACAAAAATTAGCTGGGCATGGTGGTGTGTGCCTGTAGTCCCAGTTACTCTGAGGGCTGAAGTGGAAGGATCTCTTGAGCCTGGGAGGTCAAAGCTGCATTGAGCTGTGACTGTGCCCCTGCAAGACAGAATAAAACCCTGTCTCAAAAAAGAAGAAGAAAGAAGAAGAAAAAGGAGAAAGAAAGAAAGATAGAAAAAGAAAGAAGGAGGAGGAGAAGAAGAAGAATTAGAAGAAGAGGAAGAAGAAAGAGTATTATAGTTTTGTATTTAAGCTTTTCGGAACTTAAATACCAGACAACCCCCAAGGCACAGTGAAGCTACATGTCCCAGTACCCATAGGCCAAGAAATGAGAACAAAGTTACTGAAGGTGCCAGATGGGACCAGGGAAGAAAGTGAAGGAGGGGGAAGGAATAGGATATGGTGATCTGTGATCATGCCCCCCGATATACAGGGCCTGGCAATAGGAATGACAGCTAATGTTCACTGGGCTTTTACAACATGCCTGACTCTGCCCTAAGTGTCTCATGTAAGATAGTGAGGTCGCCCAAGTCACATGGTTCACTGCTGATGGAAGTCAGGCAGCCTGACTTCAGTGCTGTTCTTCATTCTGTTTCACCACAAACATAGTACATTCCCAGTAAATACTTACTGAATAGATCAAAGGCAGCCTTTTAGCCATGGGCAGTCACCAGGGCTAGTCAGGATTTATGGGCTGCATGTTTACAATCAAGTCCTTATGGGCAGCACTGGCTACTGAACAATGCTTGGGCTTTGAGGCTGGGCTTGGCTTCAGTGGTAAAGGGCTCAGTATTTCTCGGCTTCATGTTTTTCATCTGAAGAATGGATACAAATTATCTCCTGGATTCATTAAGCTTTAAGCTGGGATTCCATGGAGGAATAGGAGTTTTCCAAGTAGGGAGAGGGTGGAGAGTAGGGAGAGGGTGGATGGGGCAGGTGCTACCGGCAGGGGCATGGTGTACACCAGTGCCATGCATAAAGTGGCATTGTGGTTGTTGGAAGGCATCTGATGAGGCTGCAGTGCTGAGAGGGCGGGGAGAGTGGCTTGAACTGAGGTCAGAGCCACTGGCCAGAGTGAGACCATGAGGGCCTTACAGCACTAATACTGGAGGCCCTGGATTTTGTTTTAGGGCAGTCACTACCAATTTAGTGACTTTGGGCAATGAATTACCTGCCTGAGCCTTGGTTTCTTTACCTTTTCAGTTGGGTTGACAGTTGTCACAGTAAGTAGAGCAGGCAAGTATCTAATCTGATGATGGCATTTTCAACCACACTTGGTCATCTATCCATAAATTGCTGTTTAGAAGTAACTGTGAGCTTTGGTGTGGTCATCAACCCAGAATAGTTTGAAACAACAAACTTTTCCTCCCAGGCTGACTAGCATCCTTTCCAGTTAATCCTATCTGATTAATATTTAATTCTTAGAATGTTCCAAACTTCTATAACAATCAGTCATTTATAAATTTCAGAGAGAACAACATTATTTAAAATCAGTAACAGCTATGATTCACGAGTTTCTCTTGAGCCTCTTTATTGGGCTTCAGAAAAAAGACTTCTGTTTCTCAGAAAGTCTTAGTGATCCATTTATCTGAGACAGCACATGGCCTGACCCCCAGCCTCAGACCTGAAAAGGGATTCCTGGCTCCTTACCTGCTAATGGCAAGTGGAATCTCTTGAGTGTTTTTGTTTTGCAACAGATGAGTTGATTCAGGCTTCCTCTGGTTATGAGGAACTATATAAAACAGTGACATAATTTGGTCAGATTGCAAAATAAGAATAATTGAGAACCATTAGAAGCCCCCTGGAACTACTATAATTTTCTCCATGTAATCTCTGATTATTAGGAGGGGGCTCTTGATGGTCAGTGGAAACTATAACTCACGTATTCTACAACTCTTCTGGCTCCTGAGTGTGACTTTTTCTGAGGTTATAAAAATTGCTTTGAATATTTACAAGCTAGAACACATCACTGAACCTCCCAGAAAGACAGAATATTTCATTGGAAGGTATTTAGGGATTATTCTGGACCCATGATTTAAAAAGATTTTTAGTTTCAGTCTCATTCATTAATTAATTTATAGCATTTGACAGATGTTTACTGAATAGCTGCTATGGGACAAGTACTCAGCCAGAGCCTGGGAATACAGTGGAGAAAAAGACAGACCTGGTTCCTACATGCTAATGAAACGAAACAGAAAATAAGCATGCAAGTAGGTCAAAAAGAACATTTCTACTAGGCAGTACAAGTGATATAAAGGAAATAAAGTACTACTTTGGAATATGGCGTGACTATATGTATGGCTAGAAAGACCCTTCTGAGAGATGGCATTTCAGCTGAGATATTCACAAGAAGAAAGTTAAACAAAAGGACTGTTCTGGATGATGGAGGAGATTGGGGTGCCCAACTGGTCATGGCACTTATATTCTCATGTTCTCCTGTGACAGGGCAGGTGAGCTCCTAGGGTTCTAATGTAGACCAGCAGTTCCTACCTGGTTCCAACCAGGGATACAGTTTCTCAACTTTTTCCTTCCTCAGTCATCAAATTTTTAAAAGTTCTGCCAACCATACAATCTCAAGTTATTTAGTAATTACATATGCAATTGATGTTACTGCTTTTTATTTTCTTTTCATTACAGAGAGATTGAACCAGCCATCCAGAATTGCCAAGGGCATATCATAATACTACGATATAAAATCTTATAAAACACTCTTCCAGTTGTGATCATAAGTAATAAAGCTAAGGATGCACACGGGCACTGGCATATTTTAATTGTGATTGTTGCTCTGTACTCTGCCCAAGGTGCATCACAAACTGGACACCTTTGATTGAAGGACTGTGATTACTTGAAATGTGAGTCAGTGACTGGTCCATTAATCATGCATCCCATAAAATCACTTCATGTCATCAACAGCCACCCAGAGTTGCCCCTCTTGAGCTGAACAATGCCACATTGTTGTGTTAATAATCATTGTTGTGTCGTCTGTTGAAACAATACCTGAACTACCTGAATATTTTAGTTAGGATGTTGAGCTTTGTTGTGGGAAAGGGCATGGTTTCAGTTAGGTCTGTGAATTATTTAGGCTTGCCAACAAACTCCTACTCCTCCATTAGGGACCCATGAGGAATCCATAAACCCAAGTTAGGCCTCTCTTCAAGTTTAGCTTTGTCAACATATAGAGAAGAGCAGACCTGAGACTCACAGAGAAAAAGCTACTTGAGCAAAACCACACAGTGAATTGATGGCAAGCCTCTGAAATCCTAACCTAATGTTGCTCTGTCGAACTATGCTGCCTCTTGCAAACTCTTTGGTCTGTGATGCAGGCCCTTTGGCTCTGGACATAATTCATCATTCTAGAGGAATGGAGAACAGGATTTCAAAGGTGAATATGAAAATACTTCCTGCTTAGCATCCTGCCATTTAGGATATGAGTGATCGTTGGATTGCATACTTGCACAGCAACACCAACACTGTAGAGGTATGTGCATGTGTGTACTTGTATGTGTGTGTACATTAAAGAGACGTGTGTGTGCATGGCTAACATCAGAGGCAGAGATACCAAGAGCTTCTTTGGAGCAGCGGACCAGCTATGTCTTTCCAAAGTGGTAGAGGGTGACAGTAGAATGCATTTTGGTAGGTAGCCTATGGCTAAAGAAAGATGTGTGGCCTACCCTGGATTTAAATCACCTGTTTAGACTAGAGGACTCTGAGGATCATGTCATCATGCACACACATGCCTCCCCATCCCAGACTTCCAAACAGTCAATCCTCTTCAATAACCATGAACACCATAGATCTAGAAACAGAATCCACTCTAACAGTATTAGGGTAAGAAAACAAATGTAAACAATTCACCTTTTTCTGCTTCAAGGACCTGTATTGAATTAAAAACAAATGTTTACTGACATTGATGATAGAGAATTTAATATAATAACCTGTGTGTTTTAGAACTTTTGGTTGCTAGAATTTTGGTAAAATTTTTGTTAGCATAATTTATATTCTTAAAAAAAGCTAAATTCCTCAGAAAACTAAACAAAAATCAAACATTTTTAATCTTTGTGTGAAGGAACAGACAAGTCCACAGTCTGCTGATGGGACTACCTATCATTTTGACTCTTTCTGAAAGCAATTTACCAAAATTATAAAATACTTTAGAACTACTCTTATGCTTATCTCAATAATTCCATTGATGAGACTCTTTCTAAGTCACAACCTGAAATCTGAGCCATGTTCTATGCACAAACACGTTTATTGCATCATTACTTCTACAGAGTTAAATCATTAAAAACAATCTAGATGCCCAGATAAGTGAAAATCGTTAGTTTTGATGCTATACGCACTTACTGGAATATTATAAAGACATGTAAGTATTTTTGTATGCATCCATGTTACATGAAAAGTTTGAAATAAAAACTGGACCCGTGATATATTTTTATGTGGTTATATTTTATAGCTACGTATATTTGCATGCAGAAAAAAATGATTGAAAGTCATATGATAAAATACTAGTAAAGGTTGTGCTTAAGCAATAAGGCTATGGTTAACTTTTTCTTTATACTTGTTCCGAAATTTTTATTTTTTTAAACAAGGCTTGGAAATAGTCACGTTATCCTTTTTAAGTATAGCCATTTATCTTCCTAAACATTTTCTTCCTCTTTCCTTCCTTCCTTCCTTCCTTCCTTACGGTGGTAGAATTCTTGGTCATGCTTCATTATGAAAATCTTCATGCTTATTGGGCTTGTATATTGGGGCCCTACTGTACCCTTGAAGAAGCAAGAAGCATTACAGTAGGTACAGTGTTTGCTGCAGTATTTATTTAACTGCAAATAACTTTATGAAGTCTATATATTGCATCAGTTGAGGAGGACCTCAGGTATCATTTGGATAAGAACTGCTTTAACCAGGGGGATGAAAGAGATCACTGAATGGCCGAGGAGGGTCCAGGAACCTTCTGAAATGAAAAACTAAATTTTTTTCTCTATAAGTATGTGCATATATATTTTTTCTTTTTCTGGGGTGAGAAAGGTTTATTATACCTTCATCACATTTTCAAAGTGGTATGAGGTCCATGAAATGTTAAAGACGGTTGGTTACCGATGAGGTCCCAAGGGGTCATGCCGTTCACCTAGATTCCCGCAGTCATCTGAAGGCTAAACTGACCCTGAGCCCAGCTGTCCTGACTCATATTTGCTTCATTGATAAGAAACTTCTGGCAGCAAATTGCTTAGAGAGGCATTGTATATCTCTTCCGAAGCTAGCCAACAGAGAAGGCTTTTTATTTCAAAGACTTTGGCATTCCCTAGGATTCGGGAAAGAGGACATACATTTCATTATGGACAGAAAATCAAAGAAAATCTATAGGCTAAGTAAAAAGAGTAATGAATCCGTTCTAATGAATGGTTGGAAAGTATCCCTACTGAGTCTCCCCGGGGACTTTGAACCTGGCTGTTCAAAGTGCTCAATCAGAAGCAGCAGTTGCTCTCAGGCTTGTCAAAGGGGAGGGGAAGAAGAGATGCGAAGGCTGAGAAGCCCTCCATCTGGGGGAGCCGTTGTTTTATTTAATTGAGACCAACCAACTTTTTGCCTGAGGGTTCTGAATTTAACATCAAATGTAGTTAGAAAAGTAGAATGAAATCGCTTATTTTTCTTCTGTAACTTTTTTTATTGTTAGGAAATAGTCAAGTTAAATAGCAGTATCTCTCTTATTATCTCTCTCCCTTTCTTTTTCCTTTTTTCCTTTCCTTTCTTCTCCCTCCCTCTTTCCCTTTTCCTTCCTCCTTTTCTTTCTTTCACCCTCTCTGCCCCCTCCTTCCATTCCTTTCTTCCGTATTCTGTTTAGTTATTTTAGTTCAGAGGTATTTCTGTATTTTTTTTAAGGCAGAGAGACATGGCTGTGGGGAAGACACCTAGGCCTTGGGATTGCCAGGACTGGCCCTATCTCCTGCCAGCTATAAGGACTCTGGCCGAGTTTGCCACCTCTCCGGGGCTTCATTTTTCTCTTAGGGCTTTGTGAGTACAAAATGAAACAAGGAGTCTTTCCTTTTTCTGAGTACTATAAAATGCCATGTGAATCTGAGTGGGGGCAGGTAGCACATAAGAGATTCCAGTCCACAAGATAGCATTCAGGCAGGCACTGAGGGCAGGCACAAGTACAGTTTGCCCTGATGGGCTTTTGTCATGAAGAAATGGTCTTGAATCTCAGCCCAAACAAACAATGGGAAATGTCTTGGCAAAAGATAAGGAGCAAGAATGCGTTTTTCCATTAGACCTTCTTGTTCTTTAGACGATATCAACTTCTAGCAGAATGCCAACTAAAGTTGAAAAGAAAACAAACAGTCCTGCACACTTCCTGCCATCTAAGGCTGACTCCCTGTCCCTCAATTCCTTTTTGCTTGTTTGTGATTGGAGGGCCTACCATCCTCTCAGACTGACCAATGGGTTATGATTTGAGGTCATCGTGAGTAGCAGCCAACTACCACTTTAGATACCCAAGCCTGCCTTACAGGAAGAAGCGGGGTGGAGTCCTGGATTCAGGGACCTTGGATGTGTGGGTTTCCCCAGCAGCTGAGCATCACCCAGCCTGCTCCTTCCTGGAGACACTAAGGAAGTACAACCCCTCCCAGAATAGCATGAGCCTGGGGAAGTCCTCAATGGAACCAGGACTGTTCTTCTCATCAAGTAGTTATGTATGTTATCTTTCTTGACATGATTGTTTTGTGGGTTAGGGAGATTAGAGGTAGTAAATGTCTTGTTTGAGTGACAAACTAGAAATGTTAGTTGTTTATTTTAACATTCTCCTAAAACCAACAAATGACAAAGAAAACAAGGAAAGAAATTTACATCTACGATCTAGATGAGAGCATTGGTCAAATACAAAGACAAGAACAAAATTCCTTCGAGTCCAGTGGGAGTGAGTTGAGGCCACTTGTACTGATGGACAGTCTTATCATCAGTCATGGTGACCCCACTATCCTCTTAGTGAACGTCCTCTTTGGGCAGTGAAGGGAGTCAATCCCCTTGGAAGGCTCTACTGTAGCTCTCCCGCACAAGGCTTTCATGCCATGTATTGAGTCTCTACTGGTCGCTGGCCATTTATGCACTTGCTTTGACTTTATCACATCAACTTTGCACAGAAATGTACCCATCCCTATTTCATGCCTCAGGAAACAGAAACTGGAGTGATTGGGAGTGTTTTCTGAAGTTCACCAAACAAGTAGGTGGCACAGCAGGATTTCAACCAGGTCTTGTGCAACGCTGAATCTCACGTCCCTTGTACTTTGCATTCCTGTCTTTCTTATGAAGGAAAAACAGCGAAGTGCAATACGATTTCTAACACTTTATTCCTGTAATTCTAGAGACTGGAAGCGATCAGTAGATACTGTATATCTTCCATGCTGAACTGGGCACCTCGAACCCTGAATGACTGGGGTGGCCAAATAGGATCTTGGTTTAAAATCTGGAGCTAAACTTATTTTACTTTGGCTTTCTCATCTTTAAAATAGAGATACTAACGTGTTTTGAGCATAGCTATTGTGAGAATTAAGTGTAATAAAGTGTCTGAAGCAAATAGAATCTTGCCTATTGCAGACTTTTAATGCTTCAAAATTCCCTTCTTTGCTTCCAAGGATAAAATTGCTACTTACCTCACTTAAGTCCCTTAAGGTTATCTGACTGCAAGAAGAAGAAATACGGTATTACATAAAACACAGTTCATGACGACCGAGATAAAATCATTCTGAGCCTTACAAACCTTTGATTACATTTTCATCGCCAAATTAACAGCCCATAGTCCCGTGTGATGTTTATCACTGTTCCATAAAACTAAAGCCAGGTTATTTTTCTTACAATTTTCTATGGAAAAGACAAAGTTAAGAGCCAAAATAAAAGGTGGTAACAGAAAGGTCATGAATAAACTTGCATCTCATTTTAGGAGAAATTAAAAACCATCATCATTTCTCCTGACATTTGATTTCCTACATTAAGTTTCATTAGCACAGTCAGACCCGTTATTAACTTGGTTTTCAAGCTCTTAGTTTTTTACTTTTAGGGAACGTAAAGAGTTTTCAATACGAAGCTGTCAGCTGCAGTGGGATCCCAGGAAGGCAAGTGTAAGAGAAAGAATGCTGATGAAGAGCGGAGACAGGAAAAAGACATGAAATTGAATGGTAGAGAAAAAATTCCAACATGGAATTGAATAATGTGAATTTTGGAGAGGTCTCAGGATAAACTCCAAGATTTTCATTCTATGGGCAAGTCAATTAACTTCTCCAAACCTCATTTTTTAAAAAAATCTGAAAATGGCAGCAAGAGTACTCATAAGTGTTAATGTGAGAATTGCTAGAAATAAAAAGTAACAATGTTGGGGCCTGCTGCAGTGGCTCACACCTGTGATCCCAGCACTTTGGGAGGCCGAGGCAGGCGGATCACTGAGCTCAGGAGTTCGAGACCAGTCTGGCCAACACGGTGAAACCCTCTCTCTACTAAAAATACAAAAATTAGCTGGGTGGTGGCACATGCCTGTAGTCCCAGCTACTTGGGAGGCTGAGGCAGGAGAGTAGCTTGAGCCCTGGAGGTGGAGAGGTTGCTGTGAGCTGAGATTGTCCACTGCACTGCAGCTTGGGTGACAGAGTGAGACGCTGTCTCAATAAATAAATAAATAAATAACAATATTGGGCATTCACTGTGCATTGTTATCAGAACCTGTTCAATGGTGAAGAAACTGTGAAGGGAGTGGAGTGAGGATATACATTCCAACTCCCCAGCTCTGTCAGTGAAAACACCAGATCTGAGGAATATGGGAATATTAAGTGTGCTCATCACAGTTGAAAGCTATTGATCTAGAGTTTTAGGAGTCAAGCTGTGTCAGGTAGGATGATCCCAGAAACATACAGTGCTCAGATGCTAGATCCTGGCCTCAGATCTGCAATAGGCAGCTATACTGAGGTTCCACAGTCTGAGCCTCTTACATCTCACACCCTCCCTCCCCCTTTTAGTTAGAAACCTGAGAAGACAAAGAGATTTGAATAGAGGTAATGAAGTAGAACAAACAGCCAGAGTATTAATTATTTTGGGGTTAAAATGTGGCTCATCTCAGTATTAATCTTTAAGAAGCCAGCGTATTAAGGATACTGACAGATTGGCTGTATGGCTTCAATTTGAAGTTGGTTAGAAGAGCCAAGATGTGTTTGTTTCCATTTTAAAGAGTATGAACTGTTTAAGAGAAATTAATTTTTTAAAATTTATACATTTACTTTACTGGATTTACAGAAGTTGTTAAAGTTTTGTTGGCTAGCATTGAAACCTGCCCTGTCAACATTAGAGGTAGCTAAAAATCAAGTAAATTAAATGTATAAAGATATTTCAAATATTTAAGGAGATATAACTGAGTTTGTAACAGTTTTACTAAGATTCTTTAACCTATCTCACTCAAGTTGGTTGAACATTTGTTGAAGAATAAACAGAGTGATTGTCTTTCTGTTTGGATAAAATCACTAGATTTATAAATAGAGTAATACACTTTATAGATTGAAATCTGAGGATTCAGGAAAGCTAGGGCTTGGAATGTGTAGCTTTAATAAATGGAATTTTAACTGAGAACTCAAGTAATTTTAAGAAGGCATTTCTGTGCAAACAAGAGTTTCTAACTCTTTGAGAGCTTTGAACACATCTTTGTGCAAGTTCTGTCCACGAAGATGGCCAAAAAAACCACAGTCATTAATTTTTTCACAATTTTTTCCTATGCATAAGAGGCCCTCATTATACATATAAGTGTATTACCTTTTACTATAAATAAAGGCCTTCCTGAGACTCCCTTAGTTTTTGGCTTAGTTTTAAATGAATTGAATTTTATTCTTGCTCTATCATCTATGGGTTCCGTCACTCTGGATAAGTTAAATTCTCTCTCTGAAGCTTAGTTTTCCCACATGTAAAACTGATAAATCCAGACAGTAGTGAAGAAAATTGTTGAAGGTTCTAATGAAAGAATGTGATGTGGAAGCTGTTTGGAATGAGATAACATTCTACATTTGCAGAGCATTTTAATGTTCACATTTGCTTTTTAGTCTGAGATAATTATGGATTCCCATGCAGTTGTAAGAAATAATACAGAGAGTTTCTATGTACCCTATATCCAGTTTCCCTCAATGGCAACAACTTGGAAAACAGTAATAATGAAGTTTGTACTTTAAAATCAATAGATCCCATTCATAAATACAAATTTGTATATCTCCATAACCATACATTCTATTTTAAGATATCATGGTTTCTTGATACCTATAAAGATTTTTTGTTTTCACTTTCCAAATTATCAGAGCATATATTTTTGCAATAGAGATTGCATGAATTGATGTGATGCCAGCATTGCTGGTTGTAAAGGGAAAGCTGGCTGGGTGCTTGACTCACACCTGTAAACCCAGCACTTTGAGAGGCCAACGCAGGCAGATTGCCTGAGGCCAGGTGTTTGACCTGCCTGGACAGGAGTCTCAGTGAGGCCCCTGTCTCTACTTTAAAAAGAAAGAAAAAGAAAATGGAAAGCCACAGTTAGGCAAGGGGGTGTTTTGTTTTCTTAAAGATTGGGTCCTTCATTTAAATTATATTTTGGCCAAACCCTGCACCTTGGGCCATTGAGTGTACTGAAGCTTAAAGAACATAAGAGACAATGAACTCTCAATTTCTTCATTTTTATCAGTAAATTGGAGATAGTAATATCGATTTTTTCACAGTGCTGTTTTGAGACTAAATGAATTAACACATGTAAGACTTCAAACTGGGCTTGTGTGTAGTTACAACTCAGAAAATGTTGTTGATTACTCTTGCTGTTACTCAGGATGATTTTATTTGGTGCATGGACAATGGTATTAAAACTGCAATTGATCCATCGTAGAAAAGTCATTCCCTTTATAATTGTCTTTCAGATTATGTCAAGGAGAAAGGCTCAATGCGGTGGTTAGTAGATATGAAACACCCTTCTAATATTTGCTTACTTTCCCTTTTATCAGAGGGAAAATTCCCCAGAGTTCAAAGTTGTGGTTTGAAGCTATCTGTATTGAAGTTATTTATGATAATTATGTCTTTCTTTTAAGTAAATTTCTTTAAGTTGAAAAAATGAGCAGAGCAGAAAAATCATTAAGTACATGGACAGTGTAAAAATCATAATGATGGAGGATAAGTGGTTGAGAACGCCCAACCAACATTCTCCAGACTTCAAAGTTCTCTTCTGGTTTTGAGTTGTCAATGAATGACCGGGGTGACGTGTTCCTTTGCTGAATGGCTTCAATTCAGTAATTGTTTTGTGAAACCAAGGCTTAGCTTTAAAAAAGAGAACAGCAGAGCTGGCAGAGACAAATGGGGCCTGAAACACAATAGCTGGAACCACAGCGACCATCCAGGGTGAGCACAGCCTGCTGCAAAGGACTGTAGCTGCCTAACTGCCTGTCATTGATAAAGCTGATTGCCAGATGTAAATCTTGGCCTCTGCCTTAGGGAAGGCAATTCATCTCACTCACAGTGCCTTACCAACAGCTGGCAGAGAGGGAGCAGGCACTCTGTTGCCTGGTTTGGCTGCAGAAGTTCTGATTGCCAAAGTTTCGTCTGTTTTCAGAGCAATATCCTTATGTGGTTGATAACATGGGACTTGGGCATCACTAATGATGATATTACTACCCATGTGGGCCCTGCTAAAAAATGAATTTGAAAGCACATCTCTCACTTTCAGAAGCAAAGCTGTCACATTTATCGTGGTATCCCCAGTGTCTTCTATGAGGCTGTGCAGGTTTTTACCCCCTCAATAGTCAAATGGCAACCCTGTGATTCTGAGTTACCTAACTTCCTTGAAGCTTGGTGACCTTAGGTGCCCAATGAGTAGGGAAGTACTATTTTTCTGAGCATGTATGCCATCCACCGGACTAGGTGCCTTACTCTTTCAAGGCTTAGGAGACCATAATTTAAAGTCTGGTGGAAAAATTCAATAAGAGAAAATGTAATTACTCTCTTGAGGTATTTTGGTGAAGAGATCCAGCGTAATTCTCAACACATCTAAAAATGATTCAATAAATGTAAACTATAACTACAGGAACGCCAGAGATATCAAATGCAACTTCTAAAGATGTCAACATCACCAAGACAGTGGCCCAATAGACTGATGCGATTTGGGCCCACAGAGGGACACATTTGGCAGTCGAGTGAGCATTATGTGAGACTCCGGAAACTCGGGCACAGATAAGGCTTAAACACCTTCAAAGCTTTTGTGGTGGATGTATTCCTCAAACCTGGTTCCCTCTGGGTTCTTAGCCCTGTCTGCCTATTCGCTTCACCTGGGGGAGCCTTAAAAATTCTGATGCCCAGGTCCCACTTCAGAGCAATTAAAATAGATACTGGACATAGTGCTTTAAAATAAGCTTTCTAATTATTTTAAGTGTAAAGCCAGGATGAGAACCACTGTACTATAAAACACAGGCTCTATTTCCAGAAAAGTATAGGGTTATGCATGCTGCTTACCTAATTCTGCTAAGAACAGATGGGAGAAGCTGGGTTTCTCCTTCCTTTCCTCCTTCCTCCTTCCTTCCTTCCTTCCTTCCTTTCCTCCTTCCTTCCTTCCTTCCTTCCTTCCTTCCTTCCTCCTTCCTCCCTCCCTCTCTCTCCTCCTCCCTTCCTCCCTCGCTTTCTCCCTTTCTCTTTCTCCCTTTCTCTCCCTCCCTCCCTCTTTCCCTCTTTCTTTTTTCTCTTTCTTGCTTACTTGCTTTCTCTTTCTTTTCTTTTTTTCTTCTTTTCCTGTGCGGTGACAGATATTAACCTAGGCACTTTACAGGAATGGCGTTTCTTTTCATCATCACTTTATCACACGAGGATGGTTATTCTTTTCTTATAAATAAGAAGAGCAAAACTCAGAGTCGTTAAAGAGCTTTTCTGAAATCATACAGCCAAAAGTGTCTCAACTGGGATCCAAACTCATTGCTCCTGGGTCCCACGATACTGTTCTTTCCAGCACGAGGAAACAGAAAGAAGATAAAATCCTATTTTCTCCATATTGAACAACCTCATCATCTTCAATATTTTATTTTAGTTTTTATTTATTTGAGACAGAGTCTCCCTCTGTTGACCTCTGTTGCTGAAGTGCAGTGGTGCGATCTTGGCTCACTGCAACCTTCGTCTCCTGGGTTAAAATGATTCTCATGCCTCAGTCTCCAGAACAGCTGGAATTACAGACATGCTCCACCATGCCCAGCTACTTTCTGTATCTTTGTAGAGATGGGGTTTCGCCATGTTGGCCAGACTGATGTTGAACTCCTTGCCATGTATGATCTACCTGGCTCGGTCTCCCAAAGTGTTAGGATTACAGGCGTGAGCCACTGCATGCAGTCTCGATATTTTATTGATCCTATTTTCTGTCTCCTTCTCTGAGGTTTGATCTGCCCTCTACATATTAGACTATTGCACCAGGAGTTTTAGGAATGCAGCATATTACATTTCCAATTCTGATGACACAGAATCATGGCTTTGATGGTCTATTATTATTGTTGCCTCCCGATTTCTCACTCTTTGAAAATGGAAATCAAAGCACAGCAAATCTGCTTATTCCTAGTCTAGTTAGGTTCCTTTGAAAGTTGCAGACGGAAATTTATATTTACCCAACATCTACCATATTTCAGGCACTGTGCCAGGTTATATGGGTACTGAAATGATTCAGTTCCTCTTCCACACCTTCGTGGGGTGGAAGAAACAGACTTGTTAACTTGTTATATTACATGGAATAACATAGGTACCAATGGAGAAGGGCTGAGGTAATAAAAGTATAATAAATGTTAGTTAAAAATAGGTACTGGCCAGGCATTGCTAAGCACTTTATAGGAATCAGCTCATTTAATTTTCACCTTAGCCTACGAGGTAGGTAGCAGATATTAATATTATTTGTATTTTACTGCAGAGGAAAACCTTAGACTTAGAAAAGGTTAGTTTAGTACTTTGCTAGAAGAGCTAAGGCAAAGTTTTCAACCTTTGCAATATTAACCTTTGAAGGTTATTCTCTGTTGTGGGGCGGTCCTGAGCACCATGGGATTTTAGCAGCATCCCCGGCCTCCACTCTCTAGAAGCCAGTAACATCCCTTATTCGAGATGTTGCAACCAAAAGTATCTCCAAACATTGCTAACTGTCTACTGGGGAGAGGAAGGATAAAGTCACCCCTAATTCACAGTCACTTCCCCAGATCCACCATTCATGAGAAGTAAAATCTAAATTTCAACCTTGACATAGTTTGGATCTGTGTCCCCCCCCCACCCCAAATCTCATGTTGAAGTATAATCCTCACTTTTGGAGATGGGGTCTGGTGGGAGGTGATTGGATCACGGTGACGGATCCTTCGTGAATGATTTAGCATCATCCCTCAGTGCTGTTCTCATGATAGTGTCTTATCACAAGATCTGGTTGTTTAAAAGAGTGTAGGCTGGGTGCAGTGGCTCACGCCTGTGATCCAGCACTTTGGGAGGCCGAGGTGGGCAGATCATGAGGTCAAGAGATTAGGACCATCCTGGCCAACATGGCGAAACCCCCTCTCTACTAAAAATACAAAAATTAGCTGGGTGTGGTGGCACATGTCTATAGTTCCAGCTACTCAGGAGACTGAGGCAGGACTATTGATTGAACCTGGGAGACTGGGAGGCGGAGGTTGCGGTGAGCAGAAATCCAACCACTGTACTCCAGCCTGGTGACAGGGCGAGACTACGTCTCAAAAAGAAAAAAAAAAAAAAAGAGTATAGCACCTCTCCCTCACTCTTGCTCCTGCACCTGCCATGTAATGTAAGACAAGCCTGTTTCTCCTTTGCCTTCTGCCATGATTGTAAGTTTCCTGAGGCCTCCCCAGAAGCTGAGCAGATGCCAGAATCATGCCTCCTATACAGCCTATGGAATTGTAAGCCAATCAAACCTCTTTTCATTATACATTACCAAGTCTGCGGTATTTCTTTATAGCAATGTGAGAACTGATACAAACCCAGACTATTTGAATCTAGACTTGAGAGCCTCTATTCCTTCCCATAGTGCCATGACAGTTGAAAGGGGAACAGAAAAGCAGGCGTTCCACGGGAGAGACAACAAGGAGGGTGTTTCTCGGAAGACTTATGCTTGTGTGGGGCTGTAGGAGGTGAAAAGTAGAACAGACATTCACCACAGAAGGCGGCATGACATTTTAGGCTGTTTAATATTCCCCATTAGAATCAGTGATGAATGGATTTCCCATAGAAGCTCAAAATGAGCCCGAGAGCCTGAGTTTCTGTATTCATGAGAAACGCTTCCTCACTAAATAATGCCTGTGCCCCAAACTGCTGATGCAAGCTTGAAGAAGAATGAAAAATAAGAAAGCATCCTTCATTCCATGCAAAAACAAGAAGAAAATGCTAATCTCTTTTCTGACTTTCAAAATAAGGTAATTTTGGAAATTTAAACTCTTTCGGGAAAATAAAATAGGTTCATTCGAGTTTGTCACATTTTGTGATTAGCGTCAGTTGCCGAATGTCTCACACGTTTGGGAACAAGGAGCCATCATCAGTATTTAATACCAGAGGGTTGGTTTTATGATATTTATTTTTCATAAAGGCAATTATGTTTTTGATAAAAGAGTTTTCAAGCATGGCTATATTTCTCTAGCCTGAGTGATGGGAAGCTGGGGGCCAATATCGGTCCTGAAATAGTCTGAATCCCCTTTCAGTTCTTACATAAAACATGCTGATTCTGTTCTGGAACTTGACATTTTCTTTATTAACTAATTCAGGCCACAAATGAGCAATTCTTTCAATAACTCATTTTGTTACAGAGAAGTTATATTTCCTGAAAAGAATCAAAACATAGGTTTCTAGGACTATTTTCCTCTAGTATAACTGGTTCCTCCTTGACATGGTTAGGCTTTGTTTACCCACTGAAAGCTCATCTTTAATTGTAATCCCCAGGCGCTAAGGCAGAGACTAGGTAGGAGGTGACTGGATCATGGGCGGTTTCCCCTATGCTGCTCTCATGATAGTGCATGAGTTTTCATGAGATCTGATAATTTTATAAGAGGTTCTTCCTCATTTGCTCTGGACACAGGTTCTCTCACCTGCCACCATGTAAGACATGCCTGCTTCCCCTTCCACCATCCACCATGATTGTAAGTTTCCTGAGGTTTCTCCAGCCATGTGAAACTGTGGGTCAATTAAACCTCTTTTCCTTTTTTTTTTGAAATGGAGTCTCACTGTGTTGCCCAGGCTGGAGTGCAGTGACATGATCTTGGCTAACTGCAACCTCTGCCACCCAGGTTCCAATGATTCTCCTGCCTCAGCCTCCTGAGTAGCTGGGATTACAGGCACCTGCCACTATACCTGGCTAATTTTTTTTTGTATTTTTAGTAGACATGGGGTTTCACCATTTTGGTTAGGCTGGTCTTCAACTCCTGATCTCGTGATCCACCTGTCTCCACCTCCCAAAGTGTTGGGATTACAGGTGTGAGACACTGACCATTAGGGAGCCTGTTCTGACAGGTACTTTGTTTGGTTTCCCTTTGTTCCCCTCCCCCACACCCACACTCATGCTGGTCATTTGACCATTAATGATGAATCTCTCACCTGGGCTTTCCCTGGACTTCCGGAAATGTGTGTCTTTGAGAGAAAGATGGCTTGCTGCTCTCTGGCTCAGGGGGCAAGGGCTGGTACTTCTTCGGAAGTGTGATCAGAGGCCTGTGTGGAGAGTCAGAGTAGGGTCCTGAGAAGGTTTGCTGCATCAACGATGCCTCAGGCCCTGAATCCACATTGCTCTGCCCTCAGTGTCCCCAGCTTTGGGTTGAAAATGCCAGTTTTGGGATGCTAACTTCAGAGAAGCCTGATCAGGTCTGGCACTGTTTTATAAAGGGCCGGATATAATTTTCTACAGGGAGTCACATGCTGTTCCACAGTGCACCTGCTTTAGCTTTAGGAGACCTGTGGAGAAAATGGTAACAGCCTTCCATTCATCCCAGACTGGGAGACCTGAGTTCTTAGAACTACCCAAAGAAATACAAAAATGTGTCCGGGATTGGTGGCTCACACCTGTAATTCTAGCACTTTGGGAGGCTGAAGTGGGAGAATCACCTGAGGTCAGGAGTTCAAGACAAGCCTGGCTAACATGGTTAAACCCCATATCTACTAAAAATACAAAAATTAGCCAGGCATGGTGGCATGCACCTGTAATCTTAACAACTTGGGAGGCTGAGGCAGGAGAATCACTTGAGTCCAGGAAGTGAAAGTTGCAGTGAGCTGAGATCATGCCACTGCACTCAGCCGGGGCAACAGAGCCAGACTTTGCCTCCAAATATATATATATGTTTGAAAGTCAGTGAATATCTCGTTCACTCATTTTATTCACTTATTCACTCATTGCTTCATAAAGTGCATCAGGTACTTTGGTGGATGCTGGAGATATAGAGAGGAAAAAGATAAAGTTTTTGGTTCAAGCTGCTTCCCTCTAGGAGGAAAGAAAGAGAAGTCAAGAAATGATTGCCAGAGAGTGTAATGCATGCTATGGCAGAAGTGCTCATGGGTCCCCAATAGAGCAAGAGTGGCCAGTCACTCAGAGCCTCTGCAGCTGTCTGTTGCTCTTTTCTCCATAGATATGTATACATGTAATAGTATTTGTGTATGTATCACATATATATCACATAAATATATACTTATGTATTGTAAGTTCCTTGAGGGCATATTCCATTTTCATATGAATCCAGCCCTGCCAGAAGTATACCCAGCATATCATCCAGCAGATTTCTGTACCAAAAGAATGGAGAGGAATGGATAGAAGCAAGGGAGGAATACATTCATCAAGAAATAATGAGTGAAGGTATACTGAATAGTTAACTAATAAAGGCCTGGTTAATCCTGCTCATTGAACATCTCACATTAGTTTTTCTTTCTCTCTACATCCATCTCTTATTCTGAAATCATATTAGGTTTTCAATGTCAAATGTTTGTGTTGCTCTTTTTCAGATGCTGGCACAAATTATTTCAGTTTGCTGTGAAACAAAATGCTATTTTAAAGTGTCTTACCGAGGAGGTGGTAAAGGAATCTGAAAAAGAAAGGAGAAACCTAAATTAAGTTTATCGTTCTGTGAGCAGGGCCACTGGTTAACAGGTTTTTGGTTTACAAATAGAAATGACAAATTGTGACCAGACTTATAAGACATATTTTTCAAGAGCTATCTGAGCTTTTGTGTTGTCTATATTGCTATGCTTCTAAAGTACATGACAAAGAACAAAAGCATTTTAATGATTTCTCCTACCTTGTTCTTCCTTAAAGATGTGTCTCCTAAAACATAAGAGGGAATGCCAGTCAATTTATGGAAAATGTCATCAAGCATTGATTTTATACATGCTTACAGGAAAATCATTTTTATTTATAATAATATTGATGATAATGTCAGTTAATATTTGTTGAGATCTTTTGAGATACCCAGAATAATAATAAACACTTTAGTGATGTGGTCTTATTAAATCCTCACCCTTGTTCTGTTAAGGAAGAAACTGACGCATAGGTAGGTTAAATATCTCACCTATACTCACCCAGCGAGTCAATGGCAGAATGAAGATTTCATTGCATGTGGTATGACTCTTCAAAACTGAATAATTTCTGAAGACCCCCAGAATCCAACTTCTTTATTTTATGGATGAAAACACTGAGGACAAACTAGGTAAGATAATTTCTCAAGGCCAATTAACCCTAGAAAAAGCCCAAGGAGAGCCCGAAACAGATTTGTCTGACCTACCTCTAGGTAGTTTTATTTCTGTAATTTGACTCAATATAATTACTGAGCTTCTATTTTGAGCTAAACACAGTACCAGGCACTGGAGTAAAAGGACAAATTCAATCCTTCCTGTCAAGGTGCTCCTAGCTGGGGTGTTCACAGGCCAAGCTTCTGGCTCTGGGGATGTGACTGTGAATATGACTGGTAGGGTTTATACCTTAGTGGGGAGACCTGCACTGAGGGCATCACGGACCATCTGATGAGGATTTCAGGTAGAGAAGACAAAGTATTAAATGAATATGTGGGAGACTTAGGTTAGTCTGGGTTGTCAGAAGAAGGCTCCTTGGAAAAGCAATGTTTGATTATTTCTAAAAATGGGAGTGATGTAATAAATGCTATTTGATAGGGCTGTTGGAAAATCAGTGAGAAAATGTCTATCTCCTGCTGTAGGAGACTTAAACCTCCACTGAAAACTGGCTGGGTGGCTTCACAGAGTCCCCTTTGCTTTCCTCACTTGTGAGACAAGGAGGTTGGACTAAATTAGTGATTTTTAACCGTGTGCTGAAGAGCCCCCTGCACTTTCCCCTGGAAGTCCCGCGGTGCCTGGGTGCAGGGGACTGATTACTGGTTTACCACCCCCTGTCATTAAAGGCTTAACGTCAGCCTGCTCTCCACTGTACCTTCTCTTTAGATTCCTCTTGGTGAAAGGTCCAACTGGCACAACACAACGCAAAGCAGCACAACACAACACAACACAACACAACACAACACAAACTGGTCTGTTTAATTTTAATGGCTCTTCTAGGTCTAAAATAATTACTTCAAAGAATAAGAATAAAATTACTATTCTTCCTTTCCGTTTTCAGTTTTGAAAGACACTTTTGCAATAGGTAGGATTAACGTCTTTATATGAATTCCAAACACTGATTGCACCCAGAAGTAATGTATGTCTTTGGCATTGTGAAAACACAAAATGTGACCCAGGATGTACTTCAACAACAGGAGCAATCTAGTTAACGTGAGATCTTTGACTATTTCAAGGAAATCACAGAAATTTATTTATCGATTGATGTAGGTGTTGGGAAGTATAATATCAACAAATAAAGTTGGTATTCCCATGAAACTTCCATTCCAGTGGCAGAAGTTAGGTCACATGATGTTTGCTTAAGGCACAAAATCAGAAAACATAAATTAATTTCCTTTCATTTGATTGTTTATTGGCTTCACCTCCGGAGCTCCCTGGTGGACCTTCTTGCTGCCTGGGTTGATAACTTTACCTGAAAAAGTAGATGCTGGCCTTCCAAGAGAGCTTTTTCCACTCTATCTATTGGGGATCAGTTTAATTCACTGGGAAAAAAATTCAATAAAGAAATTGAGTTCCTGTAGCTTAATAGGAAAATTCCATTTATGGTTTTCAAGATATCTAACCAGTTTGCTTCAGGGGTTGTGAGTTTCGAATGGGACATCTATCTTCTTTTGTTTCACTGATTTATTATTGAGCACATAGTATGTGTCAGGCATGGACTCATTTTTAATGTATTTATTGATGTAGGTGTGGGGAAGTATAATACCAACAAAATAAAGTTGCTATTCCCATGAAACTTATATTCCAGTGGCAGAAGTTAGGAAATATGTAAACAAAAATATAAATAAACATTCACAAGTGAAGACAAGTGCTACGCAGAAAATAAAGCAGACTGGGGGACAGCAGGGCCCGGAGAGCTGGGGCCAGGCTACTGTGTTTTTGGCCAGTCTTAGGAGGCATCTGTGGTTAGAAGATGAAATCAGAGGCCTGAGGAAAGCGAGGGGGCATGTCCTGTGGATATCCTGGGAAGGGGATTTCTGGAATAGGAAAGAGCAAGGGCAGAGGTCCTCAAGGGGTGTCAGTTCATTTTCTGTTGCTTAAAGCAGAAGACTTAAAATTTGGTGATTTCCTTAAAATTAGGTAAGTCCAAGAACACACAGGTGCACGTGGTGAGAGCCTTCTTGCTGGTGGGGACTCTCAGGTTTACTAAGACATGAAGGATGTTACATGGCGAGGGGCCTGACTGTGCTAATGTCCTAGCTCGAGTCCCTCTTCCTGTTCTCATAAAGCCACCGGTCTTCCTTCCATGGTAACTCAACACCCATTAATTCATTAATCTGTGAATGGATTAATCTTTATGAAAACAAAGCCATCATGATCCAATTGCCTCTTACAGGTCTCACCTCTCAATACTGCTACCTTGGGGCTGAAGTTTCAGCATGAGTTTTGGAGGAGACATTCAAACCAGCCTTCCACCCCCTGGTTCACCAAAATGCATGCCCTCACATACAAATGGATTCATTCATCCTTGTAGCTCCAAAGTCTTAACTCATTTCAGTACCAACTCAAAAGTTCAAAGTTCAGAGTCTGGTCCTTGAGCCTATGAAATCAAAACAAGTTACCTACTTCTAAGATGCAATCGTGGGACCAGTGTAAGGTACACATTCCTATTCCAAAAGGGAGAAAGCACTAAGAAGAAAGGGATAACAGGCCCCGCGTGAGACTGAAACCCCGGAGAGAAGACTCTGGGTCTTAAGATTCCAGAATAACTTATTTTTATTCCATGTCTGGCACTCTGTGCATGCTGGAGCAAGGGTTAGGGCATCTAAGCCTTCAGGACACCCCACCACTATAGCTTTGTTGGGCTTAGTCCACCCAGTTCTCCCAGATTGGCACTGCACACCAGTAGCTCTACAGCTCAGGGGTCTTGGCAGCAGGCTCACTCCCATTACCCTGGTGGGGATTCTCTGCAGTGACCTTGCTCCCATGGCTCCATTAGGCATTGCCCGGGTGGGTGGGGACTCTGCATTAGCTTCAACACCACATATCTGCTTTGCATTGCTTTAGTGGGGGCTCTCTGCAATGTCTCCACCTGCACTAAGTCTCTGCTTGGGTGCTCAGGCCTTGGATGACATCTTTTGAAATCCGGATGGAGGTTGCTGAGCCTCCACAGCTCTTGATTTCTGCAAGCCTGCAGAATTAGCACCGCACAGATAATGCCAAGGTTTATAACTTGTACCTTGCAGAGCTTCAGTACAAGAGTCTCAGCTGGAGTTGCTTGAGCCAGGCAGCCGTGAAGTGCTATGCTGTGGTGTACAGAGCTGAGTCCCAGGGTGGCTGTGGGCAGTAAGCTGGTAGACATACCCCAATCCTATCCCCTGAAACCTTTCTTCCATCCTAGAACTCTAGGCTTGTGATAAGAGGGCAGCCTCAAGATCTGTGAAACACAATGGGGGTCATTGTTTCATTGCCTTGAGGAATAGCATCTGGCTTCCTTCTGTCTCTGTTAATCTCTTTAGCAAATGGTCACTGGGATATACCCATGGTTTTCTCTCCTGAACACTTTTTCTCTGTTTATGTGGCCAGGCTGAGTTTTCCAAATTTATCCACTCTACTTCCCTTTTAATTATAAATTCTGTAAATTATTTCTCTGCTTTCAAATATTAAGGTAAGTTGCCAAAATAACCCTGCAGCTCCATATACATACATACATATATATATATATATATATATATATAGTTGTTTTTTTTTTTTTTTTTTTTTTTTTTTTTGAGATGCAGTCTTGCTCTGTCATCCACGCTGGAGTGCAGTGGCATGATCTTGGTTCAATGCAACCTCCACCTCTCATATTCAAGTGATTCTCCTGCCTCAGCCTCCCAAGTAGTTGGGACTACAGGCATGTGCCACAATGCCCAGCTAACTTTTTGTATTTTTAGTAGAGATGGGGTTTCACCATGTTAGCCAGGATGGTCTCAATCTCCTGACCTCGTGATCCACCCTCCTCAGCCTCTGAAAGTGCTGGGATTAAAGGTGTGAGCCACCGTGCCCAGCCTCCTTCTATATTTTATTTAGAATTTTCTTCTGCCAGATATCCTAGTTTATCACTCTCAAGTTTGGCCTTCCTCAAAACCCTCAGGCATAAAAACAATTCATTGAGGTTCTTTGCCAATTTATAACAAGAATGGCCTTTATTCCAGTTTTCAATATCTTGCTCCTCAGTTCTATCTCAAACCTTGTCAGAATGGCCTTTACTGTCTGTATTTCTATCAGCATTCTTGTCACAACCACTTATCTAATTACCAGGAAGTTCCGAACTTTACTTAGCCTTCTTGTCTCCTAAGCTTTCACCAGAATTTAGACTTTTTCTATCCTGCACCTCCAAATTCTTCTACTTCTGCCCGTTACCCAGTTTCAAAGCTGCTTCCGCATTTCCAGGTATTCATGATCAGCAACACTCCCCTTCTTGGTGCCTATTTTCTGTCTTAGTCTGTTTTTTGTTGCATAAGGAAGAATACTGGAAACTAAGTGATGACTTACATGCAAAAGGAATTTATTTCTTGCAGTTGTGGAGGCCAAGAAGACCAAAGCTCAGGGGGTGCAACCCGTGAGAACCTTCCTGCTGAAGGGGACTCAGTGCAGAGTCCTGAGGCAGTGCAAGGCGTTGGGTGGCAAGAGGGCTGAGTATGCTGGCTTGGGGGTCTCTTCTTATAAAGCCACCAGTTCCCCTTCCACAGCAATTCATTAATCCATTAACCCATT